CATAATTCTAACCCTGGCTAGATATACCGTATAATAATAAATTTATCCATACTAGGCAATTACGGAAGCCTATAATACCAGAGATATTGATGCTACCGATGAGAATGTAAGTCATTGAGATAATAATTGCCGATATTATTAATAAGCAGGATGGATTCATGGTCAAATCATTCCTAATGGATAATAATCAGATTTAGATCGATTCTTTAATCCCTTTCTCTCTTGGTTCATCTACTATAGGACGATTCAAATGCTATTGAATGGTCGTTAACAGAAGAGGCTCCATCTAAGTTAGTTGCATTCCTTTAAGATGACCAATTTCTAGATATTTGTCTACAGAGATATTTTTAACATCATGGAATTTCTATTTTCTATTGAAATCGATTAGATATAGGGCAACATGGCTCGAACAAATGTATGCTGTATTATGGCGATCGTTTATTATTTTACTCAGAAATCCTTTACTAACAAAAGTTAGAATTGGACAGGCAATTGTAAGTATTAGAAGTGATTTAGACGTAGTCATATCTTTAAATTTGCAAAGATGTCCTGTCATTACAAGTTAATAGCAAAGACTTAAAATCATAGTCAATTACAACCAATGTGCATTAGATGTTCACTCTAATATCTTTTCCATTTGAAGTTTAATTCTGTTTTAGCTGGCTTGATCTACCTCCAAATAAAGTATAATCAAGACGCTGTTCAAAATGTTGGAGGAGGTTTATTTTTCGTATTAGCCAATGCATCCTTTGGAAACATCTTTAGCGTTCTAAGAGTAAGATTTAAATTATACTGAGAAGAAGCAGAAACACTTTAACTGGCGTAGTTGAAATGCAATTATATAACTGACTAAATGGTACTAGTAACTACATAAGATAACTTTACCAATGATGATAATTTACAGACATTTACGGAAGAAGTGCCGGTTTTTATACGAGAACATCGGAGTAGAATGTATAGAACTGATGTTTATTTTCTCTGCAAGAATGTTGTGGAGGTACGTCTATGCACAATGTAGATATAGAGGTAAATTAAATAGCAAGTAAATAAAATTATATTGACTATAAGTACTAACCATAGTCAAATTTGTTAATTTTAGCTGCCTAATGCCCTCATATCTTCTATTCTGGCAGCAACGATAACATATTGGATGTTTGGTAATTTTAAATTGCGATAAAATGCTGAATATACGCTTATATACATGTGAATGATAGGTATACATCAAAGTTGGAGATGATACTTTTTAAGGTCCTTATTGACTTTTAAAATTAGGTTTAAATCCTCACTGGACTAATTTTCTAGTTTACCTTGCAATAATAACTTTGGTTAGCAATGTTGCCATATCTTATGGTTGGTGATCTACTTAACTATCAATTCTTGTTCTATAACCACATCTTGATAGCTTAATTATTACCCCCATTGGGCATTTCATTTACTTATATAGAGGGCAATAAATACTGCTACTCATTTTTATCTATTTGCCTCCTGTATAGGGTATATGATATCTTGTATATCAAAAAATTTAGTGGTTGCAAGTGCAATCTCTTCCTTATTTTTAATGCCGATGATGCTTTTTGGAGGCTTTTTCGTCAAGAATGGGTACGCCTATGGCTTCCTTTTGTAGCTTCTAGTTTCATAATTTATAGTGTAATAGCTAAATTAGATGAAATTGCCATAACTTTAATTAAATAGTAGCCATCTATCGGTATACGTAGGTATCTACTTATTCGAAATGGGCTATACCCATTTATAGAGAAAAAGAAATTATGCGATACACTCGTAGAAGTAGTTTCATTTTAATCTAATTTGGTATTTTCTCTCGATATCTTTAGGACGGAAAAGCCCTATTTCATTTGGTTGCGCTACTTATCCTGGTTTAGCTACTCCTTTGAAGCTTTGAACATAAACCAATGGGAATCTTTTGGCAATCTAAGTAAAATAAATTAATCAATTATAAAATATAACGCAGTTGATATTAATTTACATATAGATAAAATTGATTACAATATAACATTAATATCGTTGGTATATTTTTAATTAAGCCTGCAATCCAGAGATAGCAATATGCTTAAAGAACGGTGGAGAAGTCCTCAAATTTTATAATTACGATGCCGTAAGTTGTATTATATATGATTTCGATTACAGTAATATTGACTTTATCCATAATCCTATAAGTAATACTATGCTTCAAAATCTATTTTATTCAATAGGCAAATATCTACTTTGACATTGGAATGTTAATTATGTTTCTATTTGTCTGGCGTATCATTGCTTTTATCGCACTTTATTGTAGAACTAGGCTATCGCGTGAAAGTTAACACGTTAAAGTAGAGTTGACAATTCTAATTGGCTTCCAGTAACCATAAAACATGCGCCATATTCATTCTTAATTTTATGAAAGCGATCTTTACTATTTTAAGCGGTTAAAATTCTCTGCTACCAAAATGTAGCTGATCTACAGTAATTGCTGGTAAAATAGCATTATATTTGTAGGGGTTTACTGGTTGACTCGTGTAATTACATAATCAATTGGTGACTAATTTGGATTAAACACATACCAAACAAATATCTAACAGTTAGTGCGATACGTTATTTTTTTCAGTAATCCTACGATAAGCCATTTTAAACTCTATCAAAAGCATTACTATTACGTTGTGAAAAGAACGGTATACAATCTTAGTATTACAATGGATATGGCCAAGTTTTAAGTTTATTCTTTCAAATCTATGATAAAGACTAGTAGCAAAAATGATATACGTATATGTCTCTTTGAAATATTTTTACAACCATGTAGTAATTAGGAAAGTACGGTAACAAAGTAATCTTAAAGGATGTACGGCATAGTTGGTTATTTGGTAAAGATTCATTAATATTTTTGATGCTGATCTATTTTATATATTCTTTCTTAATAATTCGAGCACGGCAAATATTTATGCAATTAAAGGGATAAGTTCGAACTAATTTTTGAAGTTTCATTGATATTGAAGTTTTGATTTCTAGATGTACTATCAGTAGCTCCATAATTAATTAAAGAATATGTATAAAGTTTGAAACTATTTTTATGAAAGTAAGTGACTAGCGTATTTTCTACATCTTCTAAACAATACTTTATCCTTATTGTTAAGATACATGAAACTACATATATAAAAGCTGTAGATGTTAATATTAGATTACATCATTAAAATAAGTAGTAAATACACAACAGCACGTAAAAAAATTTCAGTATCTCCCATTGCATCAGGCAGCATCTCCAAGTATACGAGTATATATATATATATATGACTTAATTCCCATCCTGATAGATCTCCTGATAATATCAGAGACTGAGTTTAATTCACAGACATTCCTAATAATGGGTAATTTCGGAAATAGCTATAACTAAGGATTATCCTAATGCAGTATATAAAATAAATAAAAGTTGTTTGAGTAGCTTCTGAAGCCATCAATACCAGTACGGGGTCTAAAGACAGGTATTAATTGCTGTCAAAGCTCAATTAATAATAATGTTGAATCGCTACGATAACTTTTTCAATCTGTCAATGGATGATTAAAACAATTGTGTTTTTCAAGACTACTACACATCATTGGTAACTTATGGATATTATAATACCTTTTCAACTTTGTGCCCATTTCATATTTGGTATACTACTGTTATTCGCATAAGGATAATATTTATGAGATACATGACTAGAAATGGCACATAGTATAATCTGTAGTTAAGATAGGTATTTTAAAGTGCTTTTATTATAAATTTTTACTTGTAAGAGTAAAGACTGACGTCGATGACATAATCGAAAGTGGTTTACATTTTACAGTAAAAAAATTTAAAATCAGATTAGCTTTAAATGAAGCTATGAATCGCTGAAATGATATTGAATCAGTGAGTAAATATACCGAAGATAAAACAAACTGTATAAAAATAATAGATAACCCGGTACATTAAAAATTTATAATAAAGTACAAGAGCAGCAGTAATCATGTCGAAGTGAAGCTTCGTAGAATCATAAATAAAAAAAAACTTAAAAAATTAGAGATGATTATCAAACGGGTCATTATTTTAATACTATAGAAATAATTGAGATTTATTGTTTTTTCAATGTAGTAGAGTGTAGCTCAATTAATGCCTGACAGCAGTTACTTATTGGACAATTTCTTCAAGCCATCTTGCAATTGTAATTATCATATTTACAATATAAAAGCGATAAAAATTGACTGCGGCAATGCAGTACGATAATTATTAACTAAAGTAATACTATTAACAATTTCGATTACAAGCGGATCGTCTCGGTTGTTACACCAAAAATAATACAATTTAACAAGAAGTATCACTTTCATGATGCTGGTTTTTATTTTGATCAGAAATTGCAGCCAAGATAGTTCGTAGCTCTTTCGAAATATTTTCTTCTAATCTGGTGAGCCTAGTATTTAAGATCGCAAATTGTTGTTTTAATGCTTTAACTTCATTAGGTGTATAAATGGGAATTGCCAAATCGCCACTGTTTCTGTTAGATGCATCTTCGATATTATCATCATCGTCATCAATGGATTCATCTTTCCGCATAACAGGGTTGATTGGTCTAACTTCCGAGCGATTATTACAACTCCTAATTTTGGGCTGACTAATAATCTTGTCAATAGTCTTCGAGAAGCTTGAGTCTCGGTAGATGACATTAGCATGCAATAAATTGGGGTCTTTTACAGAATCTTCTTTATGATGTCCTATTGATTCTTTTCTAGTCGTATTAGAGTAGGTAGCGGAGCGCTGCTGTCTGGTAGGTTCATCTGTGGGCTCTGGATATAAATGCTGCAAATTACGCGCTGATAGTGTTACAGCTACATTAGGCCTTCTTGTACTATTGACTGGTACTTCATCGGATGTAGCTAATTCTTCCTCAGTTTGCGGTTCCGTTTTCTGAAAATGAAGTATACTTATTAGTATGGGTATAATATTAAATAGCCACTAAAAAGCATATTAATTTAAATCGTGTAATAAAAAACAATCAATCTGGGTAATTTAGAAATATTTGCAATAGAATAAAAAGATTTGTTCCTACCCCTCTTAGATTAAATGTAATTTCAAGAGTATTATTAAAGTCTTCGGCAAATTCTGGATATGCATCTAGTACTTCAAGTAAACTTTCCTTGCTAATTATATTCAGATCACAATAGGTCAGCGCACGAACATTACCATTTGACTTTATCACCGAGCGATATTTATAAAAATTTTCCCCAAATACATCTCCAACTCCTGTAATCATTAAAATGAAAAATTTATAGATTAGGTATTACCGTGACAATATTTTGGCGAAGTATAAGAGTATGAAAATATCACATTGAACTAACCTAAAATAGCTACTACGACATCGTTTCGCAACACCTCTACCGATCCACGAGAAATGAAATAGAGAAAATTTAGCTTATCGCCTTGCATAACTAAGTAATCCCCAGGAGGATAGTGAGCAGATTCAATCTTGAAAGCTAAACTTCTTAGGCAGCTTGGCGTACACATTTTAAACGCAGTGGATTCTTTTAGTAAGTTTCGATTGAGATGTAGCGATACTTCAGCTTGCAAACTTTCAGGGAAACTTTTTAGTACCTATCAGGATAATTTCAAGTAAACTTTAGGAAGGATAACAATTCACGTGGCTAGATTTTTTTGTAATAATGCAGTGATTAGAGCTCCGATTACTAGTAACCAACCGATGACATATCAATTCCTTTATGATACGACCATGTATGTTGAAAATATTCCAATAGCCTACACTTTAAGTAATAAGGAATTTTGTGAAATTTTACAAATTCCTTTATCTTTTTCTTATGAGAATGGTAGCGGGCAGTGCTGGCATATATTCGTTGTATGATTGCTGTTACGTTACCAAAAATACTGGCAGACAGGAGAGCTATATATATATATATATAGATAGATAGATAGATAGATAGATATGAATTTAATACAGTAGAATATTTCGTCAATAAAAATTAAATAGAATCAAAGCAATAAGATAAACATAACCGACCTCCAAACCACATAACAACAATAGCAAAAATCTTCTCCGAAGATGTATTAGCGGAAACATTTCCAAAACCAACTGTGGTCAAGCTGCTGAATGTGAAGTATAACGCGGTCAGGTACCTTTCTGTAATTGACGGTCCACTTACGCTAACGGATACGTTAAAAGGGCGATGGATTTCGTCTGCAAGCTTGTCTAACCAAGAATATTTGGGATTTGGTATAGAAGGTCGCTCAGCAATTGCAATAGCGTACCAGATGCAAGCAAGCCAATGAGCAATAAGTGCAAAAGCAAACATTAACAGAATCAAGATGGCAGCTCCTGTTTCAGAATAGCGATCGGCTTTACGTACGACACGAATAACTCGTAGAAGCCTTGCAGTCTTTAGTAAACCAATCAATGTTATTGTCTAAAAATTAAGACAGATAAAATTAGTCCATTTTAAATTACAGATGAGCTATAAAACTTTATAGGATTACTTGTAATATTGAATTCAGTCATATTGTAAGAAAGTAATAAGGATATGTACAATTTTACACCGGATAGTATAATTATATTTTTAACAAGCACTCTTAACTTTTGTAGTACATCAGATCAAAAAGTAAAATAGATATAATTGTAATATTGTTATAAATTTTTACCTGCTCATTTTGTTCTCCTCCAATAAATAATTCGAAAGGAATTGCAGCAATAAGATCGATTATAAACCAACTCTTTAAATAATGTAAACCGATCTTTTTCCAATCCGTGATAATCTCATCATTCGAATTGACGTAAGTCGTACGGAAATTTATTAGAATGTCAACAATAAAAGTAATGTCTACTATCCAATCAATGATAAAGAGGGGATCTGAATATGGGTTTAATACTCCATGATTCACTCTGGTCTCAGGATTACGATCAAGTATAGTACGCTGAACATCTTGAGCTATAATAAAGGAAGCTGTAAAAGGCGTAACTATAGCAGTATATAATACCATGATTAGAATAAGCCAGTCCCAAAATGCTTTTAAGATCGAATAATGTATAATAGTGAATCTAGGAATTTGAATTTCTTCCAATTTATATTCCGGTAGATTAGGTTTATTCAATGATATCAACTATGAAATCATGATTTTTAATAATAATTAATATAAATAATTATCAACAGTCTATCGCTTTAAAATAATCACACTATAAAAAAGCATTCTTAAATTTTTAGTATGCTGCATAAATGCTACTTGGAATATAATAACAATGAGCTAAAATGTGAAGTAATCTGTAGCAATCAAAAAATTATTGTTTGTAGCAAACCTGCGGGATTTTAGGTTTAATTTGATCTTTAGGTTGGTTGCGATTATCTCCTTTACTATCAGTTTCTTTGCCGTCTTGGATACTAACACTTTCTGTATCGTTAATAGCAGAGGTTGAACGCCTTAGTTTGCTACGTATTTTATCGGAGATAGATTTGCCTGCTGCATCTGCACCGCGAGGAGCTGGAATGTTGAGAGTAACGCCAGAATCAACCCCGTCTTTACCGACATCAGTTGATTCAGAGTGAGATCTGTGCGTTATATTAATTTCACTACCGTCCATACTGGGACTTTTTTCAGCACTATTGCCATTTGGATCGTTATTCGAATTAGACGCTTTATCATCAGCATCGGTTTCGTCTCTCGATTGATCATCACTACTTGTCCTAGAAAGAGATTGCCACGGCGATTGATCTGATAATTTTCCTTGATTTGTAGATTGTTGATCGCCTTCAGTACTATCAGAACGAGACCATGGTTTATGAAAGCTTGCCATGAGTTTATTGCTGCTATTATATTTTTCAGCTAATTTATTTAATTTTGAGCCTGATACACACAAAGAATAATGATAATTAGAAATTAACTTAATTATTAATCGTGATACATCAGCTACCAACGCTTTATTACACTCTCCAGTTATAGTGTATCATCCAGCAGCTTATACAAGGCAGCATGTAAAAGCATAAAATCATTTATCAATTTATTACTATACGCGTATTATGGTATCGTATAGCATATCTCAATTTTTAATATTGTTCATAACATGAAATTACTACTCCTACTGATCTACATGGGGCCTAAACAACTTTTAAGATTGCCATCACAAAAATAGATTAATATTCAAGTATCTATTTGGGTATTATTTACAAAAAATGTAGTTTACTATTGTTCAATTGAGTCCATTTATTAACTTACGTTTTGGTTGTTTTGTAGGCTCTTTAATTTCAGTTTGAATTTCTTCATGATTGATTAGATACATAACAATATTGTGATCTTCATTGAAGATTGGAGCAACATTTACACGTACGTAAACTGGCGCACCTGAAAGTATATCAATAGAATACCTCAAATGAATACCAAGTTGAAGATTAAAGGAACAATACATACGTGTAGGTATTATTATGAGAGCAAGTAATCTCCGTTTAAGAATTGGAGAAGACTATAGAATTTTTAAATTACAAAATTGTTGAGTTAGTTATGGTAGTATTGTCTATCGTGTTATCAATTAGGATTAGAATGTTGCTTTTTTATATATGTATGCATAATTTCAACAATAATCCAATGGAATAAAGCCATATAATAATGGTCAACAGTTGAAATTTATATGAGAGCATGGAAAGACAGCAGAAGGTATATAATATAAATTGCATTGCATATCGCGGTAGCATCTATGACATGAAGCACCTGACTGATTTTTTTGATGATGTATACTGTGATTTTATAGCATGTAATGGTTTGGAGCATAGATATTATTAGGCAGTCATGATGATACAATAAATTAATTATATCATACTGGATAAAAATAAATATTCCTGCTGTAATTAATTAACATCTTTGCTAACATGTGTAAAGTTACAAAAGATCTGTAAGACATGGATTTTGCATCATGATTTCATTTTATAAGAGTCAAAATGATAACAGCGATTACATGTTTAAAGGTTATTGTTTTGTACATCAGAATCAAGAATTGATGATTAAAAATGATAGAATTTAATTAATGTTTTTTTTCTCTTCCTTATTCATAACTATGACATCAATAGAGTTATGCTGATTAGCTAATTAAAGCTATTAAATGCATCGATGTTATTCATTTGTTAATGAGACATCAACAAATAGAAAGAGGTTCTCTCGAATAGTTTTAAAGTTTCATTATTCATCTACGGGTATCCATCATCACATCATTTGATGAGGTATATAAATAGAATTGCAAGCAACAGTGCTAGCTCTATCATTGATATTAATATTTCTGGCGTAGTAACTGTGCTAAATGATTGCAATATATGTTATGGGCTAAACCTGGATGATTACGACATTGATCGTACAGTATTCTACATATTCATCTCTATATCTCTACACTATCACTGTACAAAATCATGGGTAGTATTGCTATATTGGACGCACTAATGATCATCATGCAAGAATTATGAAGGATAGGCTTGAGTAAAGCGTAATATCAAAATTATTTTGAAAAGATTTTGTCTATTGATGTTTCACTTATGGATATCGTTGAGAATTATAAAGGCCGACAGTGAATGTAATTAAAGGTAAAAACTCCGATAGAGACATTATTAGGTAATTTACACATTGTGTGGAAAGGCTACAAGAAAAGATATCTATAAGATCGTAATAATCTCATTATTGCATAATAAGTTGTAGAGTTGGACGATATGGGATGACAGAAAAAGCTGGAATATCAACTGTATATCCATTCGATGGAGGACTCAAAATACTGATCTTATAATCCAGAAACTGATTCAGGAGGGGGTATACACACCAGTTTAAAACGGGTGAAAGATAGTTATAACCATGGAGGCCAGTATGTTCTAGAATATTGACTGATGAATTAACCTTGTAAGTAGAGCGAATGTAGTCTAGAAACTGGATTAGAGCTACAGCTCGTATAGTTGAGCAGAGCGTTAGGCTAGTAGAGACTATTAGTAAATGATCTTAACATATGCACGCTCATTTCTGTGCCAAGTATGATGATATACAGCATTGGCTGATAAATTAGTTTTCCTTTACTAAATGAAATAGCATTATGGATCGATTTTACTTTACTTGTCGGTACTGCTAATATGGTCTATTTAATTGAATTAGCAGATAATACAGAGCATTCGTTGATGCAGTATATACAGTAGATGCTTTTGGAGCAATTTTACGTTTTCAATTTAAGGGATATGTAATAGAGTTGCTTAGTGAGACATGTTATTGTAGGCTCGTATATACAGTAGATGCATTTTGGAGTGGTGTCTCCAATTAAAGGTAAATGTTAGGATGGCAGTAATAGCGTTGATTAATGAGGCATGCTATTGCATATATATATACATGGAGAGAAGATACATTTTGGAGTTATAGCTTAAATTCAAGGGTAAATGTATTGGAGTGGATTCAATAACTTTATAGAGCAATTCAATGTGTTTCATGACAGGGATATGTAATGGAGTTGATTAGTTAGGCATGCCAATATATATATACAGTACATGCCTTTTGGAGCAATTTTAAATTACTTGGATAATAAAATGTAGTAGAGATAGTATTCTACTCGTCTATTTTCAACTAGTTTCACAAGACGTCTGCATTTTGACTCTTTCATGATTATGTTGTTGTCGCACTGGAAGGAATGAAATGATGTTGGACTATGACTGGATTTGAGTTTAGTTTAATGATATGCTTAAATGGGCCAGAAGCAATTAGGTTGAAAATGAATTTTGATTTGGTTGTTGATATAACAATTGTACCTTGAAAACTCTTCTCAACCATTGTCTAAATCAATCCTTATTTATTTTGGGGGGATGTAAGTAAAAGCCATGATACAACGATTGCATGAGAACTTTCTTAAATACTACTGTAAACAATCTTGTCAAATCAATACGCTGTGGGATATCAAAGTGAACATAAAAACAAATTTCTCAACAACGGGATGGAGAATACAAGTCATGATACGACGATTCTTTAGCCAATTTCCATGGAATCAGTAACAGATTTCGTTCTATATAACATGTACGTCTATGCGTTGATGTGATATTGTAGCTAGCGATGATAGGAATTGAGCTATTTGAAATTGATCGATTTACTGCTGCACTCATTGCGCCCCCCCCCCAAAAAAAAATGACAAGGTTATCGATACTGTAGGCAGGAAATGTTCATGCTATTGGACATATCAAAGTATGTTATTTCCAATAGTGCGTTTTTATCATTATTGTACGATGATAGAGTAGAGCAAGATGAAAAAAAAAAGGATATGGTAACAGTAGAAAAAGAGCTATCCACTTGTACTACAGGGCAGTTTTTAAAGCAAGTTGAATAAGGGAGTAGAAATGAAGGCAGTGTCACCATTTTGTTTCCATGCAAAAGTCTTCACCTATTTTTGTCTACCACGCAAATGGTATCATAAAATGTTACTGGCAGCAATAGTCTTCTCATGGCTGTGGGTGAATAAGGATAATAGTTTTGCTACTTTAGTTGAAAAAATGTCTGCAGGGGGCAGCGTATTGATCAACGTTGAATTATGGTTGATATCAATTTATGGTCTAGTTTATTTTTGGCCATTTATTGTAAAATGCAGCACAAAAGTCATATTATCCAGTACAAGGACTAAGACATTTGCTCTTCTTCTATACGCCTTGATTAACATGGCGTAAACTAGTTGTTACTAAGGTATTGATTTTGCAATGAATTGCATAGTATTGAAAGTTACTATAGCCAATGTTGCTTAATTGCTATGGAACTGCAATACCCTTTCTATTGCAAACAAATCCCATCTGGTAGTGGAACGTAAAAGGCCAAAGTCTATTCGATCGGCCATGTTCATTGTAACTCAGCGTTGGAAGGCGATGATGTTTTTTCTTTCGACTATAACTTAACTACAAGTTTTCGGTCTTTTTTTTTTTCAACCACTGTCACCCATAGTTAACTGGCAACTGTTTCTATTTTATTTCATTTTCGTCATGATTGATATTTGTAGTAGAATCGTTGATACAGACTGGGTTGGGTAGTTTTTTTTTTTTTTTTTTATTCCCTGTATCGCTTTCTTCATTGCATATACTGTAAAGACAATCAGTTATTGTGTTGTTGACTGAACAAGAAGGATATTATTTTGATTGATTGACTTTGAAAATGGTGCTAAAGTACAGCAGACAACGACATCAATATGGCTACAAAGTAAGGTATAAAATGGACGACTCAACATTGCAATTGCCTATACAAACAAGCGATTGCATGATTCTATTCGTGGTCATGACATAGGGGATAAGGTTATTATTGTAATGGCCATTCTTACTACAATGTGTACCTACATCATTTTACGCCATATTGCATCTTTTCTACTATAAACAAATACAATTTTTCATCAACAAAACGAGGTAATCGCCTTGCACAACAATTGCCATGGACATTCTATCGACTGTATTTTTAATGGGATTGAAACAAAGCAAAGTGATGGAGTTTTTGTCGTTTAGCTTTACATCAAAGTCTGTGCATGGCTAGTAGGTAGAGTAAGTGTGTGTGTGCTGTCTTGGCAAAGGATTAGCAACGTCTAAGAGGTTCTTCTTCATGACTGCACACGCAGTTTTTCTTGCAGCAGTCCATGTTCTGCTTTAGCATGGCCTGGACATAAGACTGTACAGTGTACAGTCCATGCTTGTTATGGGCCAAGATAGGACAGGGTACATGTCCCATCTTGACTGAATTTTGAAAAGCAAAATGACGATCAATCAGAGCAGTTTTTAAATTACTTTTAGGTAAAGGAGGGGAAGCGAGAAAATCAATCAACAATCCAATGGTGATTACAACATGAATCAACTACTGTTGATAAGCAATGAAAGCAAGTATCATGGATGAAAGTCATGGGAAAAGGACAATCATTGTACGATAGTTTATTCTTAAATTTGCGGCTTACCGTCATATTTATACAAGACAACATCTATTTGCTGCTCATTAGGTTCATGGAGGAAACGGTAAATGGTCTCTAATGCTTCTGGACTTGTTCGTTCTCCTTTGAAAAACTTGCAATCGCTGCTGGTTTGCATTAGCGTGGCTCGAGAGTAACCATATAACTTACAAATTCCATCATTACAATATATAATGGGTAATTCTTCCAGGACCGCATTGGCCAAGACAAAATTTCGACCTATGAATGAATTAATGTTGAACCACCATTACTATTTGTTCATTACAATCCAACACAGACACGCTCATCATCAAGTTGCAATCATTGACTATTTCATTTATTTTTTTTGGCCCTTTTTTGAAATGTTCTGAAATCTTTGTTTTTCAATACATCAGAAACAAATAGCAATATCTGTTGATTCGTAATATTGACATCATTGACTGTCCAACATCATTAAATTACATAACATTTATTGCGATGTTGGTTATTATTTTCATGGATACAGTAGGCGCACATTGCGTGGTCAAGTCGTGTAGTAATGGAGGGAATTGCATTGAAACTGTGGCAATTGGGGTCGTTCTGTGTAAGCTTAGATGGAACATCATTTTTAATATTACCATGATACAGTGGATAAGAGCCATTCAAAATAGAAAAAAAATGGCTAAAGAATGAATGTTGACGACGATGAGAAGGCATCTTGGCATGTTACTGAGTGCCTCCAACAAAGTTAATGGACATGAATTTTGAAGCAACCCTACCATGCCAAACGGCAGATGAAAAAACGCTTCATGATATAGTAGTATCCACTCTTTCACTGCGGTAGTAGCCATGCTTGGCATAATGTAGACCATCGCTAACAAAACACATCATGTTGTTTCGTGATCATCATGTTGAAGAATAACAGCAACATGCAATTTGAAAACAGCAGTACGAGTATTTCGCGGTCTATCTCTCTCCATATCATTGGACGACAGTAGACCGTTGTAGAGTTGTAGCAGTGGATCGGATTGCAACAATTCTGAGTATTGCCGTTAAACAAGATTACTGTCCTGTCTACGGCGACACTGATGTTGAAGTAGTGGATAGGATTGCAACAATTCGGAGTATTGCCGTTAAAAAAAAACTACTGTCCTGTCTACGACGACACTGATGTTGAAGTAGTGGATAGGATTGCAACAATTCGGAGTATTGCCGTTAAAAAAAAACTACTGTCCTGTCTACGACGACACTGATGTTGAAGTAGTGGATAGGATTGCAACAATTCGGAGTATTGCCGTTAAAAAAAAACTACTGTCCTGTCTACGGCGACACTGATGTTGAAGTAGTGGATAGGATTGCAACAATTCGGAGTATTGCCGTTAAAAAAAACTACTATACTGTCTACGGCGACATTGGCGATCGATTGATGTTGTAGTAGTGGATTGGATTGCAACAATTCGGAGTATGGCCGTTAAAACAAGTAAAACAAGACTACTATACTGTCTACGGCGACATTGGCGATCGGTTGATGTTGTAGTTGTGGGTCGGATTGCAACAATTCGGAGTATTGCCGTTAAAATAAAACTACTATACTGTCTACAGCGACATTGGCGATCGATTGATGTTGGAGTAGTGGATCGGATTGCAACAATTCGGAGCATTGCCGTTAAAATAAAACTACTATACTGTCTACAGCGACATTGGCGATCGATTGATGTTGGAGTAGTGGATCGGATTGCAACAATTCGGAGCATTGCCGTTAAAATAAAACTACTATACTGTCTACAGCGACATTGGCGATCGGATTGATGTTGGAGCAGTGCAACAATTGTGTTATCCTTTGATGTATTTGGAGTGAATTACTAAAACGAATGTCGTCCACTTTGGGGGCTACTAAAATGATGAATGAAAAAGTGACAGTATTAGCATCCACCAAAATTGTTAGCATAGAGCAAGCGATGATGATGGATGTAGGCAGATTGCAAGCAAATACATGGATTTAATTTAAAATCAGGATGTCCATGATTGTTGTGTGGTCTATCAAAGTCCGCTGCAGTTCAGATTAATTAGTGGACATCGACTGTGTATCAATAATATTGTATTGAGTTCCATGACCATGAATTGAGATTGTTCCAGCATCGCTTCTTTTTGCAATCAACTGATTGACACTAGTGGAAAAACACAAGACAAATCCATTACTTGTCCATTGCTCAACATCCATGCTTGCCTGTGATTGTACGTAAATCAATGTTGACAAACTTGTTTCAACTTGAGCTAACTAAGCGTAACATGGACTACTGTATGGCAGAAAAAAAACAAAGTATTTTTCAAAGTAGTTACGGCCTAAATGGCAGGGTCAATATTAGCGCAAAAAAGGATCCATCAAGGCCCCATTTTCTCCGATCGTTTCCCATCGCCTTGATCCACTTGAATTTATATTCAAGGATTGGCTGGTGTCCATTTTCAATCTTGAAGGCAAGACGACGATCCCCCCCCCCCCAAAAAAGAAATTGTTACTACCATATTATCGCCATCATCCTCTACTAAGGTTGATGGAACGATGATGCCAATCGCTACTCATGTTCTACTACTGGATGGATACTGTCGGCGGAGGGACGTCTTGTGTTTGTTGTTGATTTGATTAAAACAGATTTGATCGACATCAAAGGGTAAAAAGAATGGCCATGGATCGATGATGACTACTACAATCGATTGATGACATGGTTTACGGATAGCAATGCATTACAGTAAGCTGATCTCTCCATCAACATGATGAAGAGATCGATCAACCTTGTCAAAAGTGCAAGCAAAGGCTAGTGATGTCGCTTGCATTCTTTCAAGGGTAGCGTACTGGAAATAAATCAAAGTCTTGCGTGTTATGCTAGGTAAGATCTAGGTCTGACTCCTTCTTGTCTACCGCATGCTATCCTTGATCAAGCATGGTTATCCATGGTACATGCTATACACACTATCCCTTGGCATCAAGTAGGCTACAATTGAAGAAGGCATTTTGACTTACCGGGACCATCAAATCGTTTAATGATGGTTTCGATAAAGTTGTTTTGCGGCGCTGATAGCCCTCTTCGGATGGGCATCGCTTGATTGTTTTGAACTTGATGATACGCTTTTAGGATAAGGATAATACAAGCAAAGCAAGTAATTGCCTTACATCAATGGAAAGTCTCTTTTTCTGTCGCTAAGATTGATTTGCTTTCGCCAAGAGAGAGCAGAAACTGCCAACCATCACAACTAGGATGGCAAAGTTGGGGAAGATTTAGCGTCGATGTTGAAAAATTTGTTTGCTACAACACAAGGTCAACCGGTGGTGGAGCGGTCCGTTCCGGTCCAGCGCGAGGGTGTTGTACGTTTACTTTAGCGCATGACTTAGTAGGGACGAGCGACACAAGCGTTTGTACTGTACACTGTACACTGTACACTGTGGGCCAAAGTGCAGTCATGGATGACAGGGACCACACTCGGTGTTGCGGTCCGTTCCGGTCCAGCGCGAGGGTGTTGTACGTTTACCTTAGCGCTTGACTTACAGTACTGTACTGTACACTGTACAGTAGTAGGGACGAGCGGCACAAGCGTTTGTACTGTACACTGTACAGTAGTAGGGACGAGCGGCACAAGCGTTTGTACTGTACACTGTACACTGTGGCCCAAAGTGCAGTCATTGATCACACGGACCGCGCCAGGTGTTGCGGTGTGTTCCGGTACAGCGCCAGGCTATGCTACATTTACAGTACTGTACTGTACTGTACTGTACTGTAGAGACGAGCGACACAAGCGTTTGCACTGTACACTGTACACTGTGGGCCAAGTGCAGTCATTGATCACTTAAGACCGCACCAGGTGTTGCGGTACGTTCCGGTACAGCGCCAGGCTATGCTTACACCTGTCGAAGGTTTGGTTCTACAGTACAGTACTGTACTGTACTGTACTGTAGCGACACAAGCGTTTGTACTGTACTGTACACTGTGGGCCAAAGGGCAACCATTGATCACTAGGACTACAGTACAGTACACTAGGTGTTCCGGTACAGCGCCAGGCTAGGCTACGTTTACTTTAGCGGTTGACTGTGGGGTAGGACGAGCGACACAAGCCTTTCCACTACAGTACTGTACACTGTACACTGTGACTATCACAGTCTACTGTCACTATGCAGTCATCCATTACTAGGACTACAGTACACTGGGAGTTTTACAGTACAGTACAGTATATGGAACCTTAGAGCATTGTACTGTACTGTACTGTACTGTGTACAGTGTACAGTACAACTCGTTCTGTACTGTAGTACTACGTACTGTACAGTACAGTACCATAGCATACTGTACGACCGTTGGTTGCTACAGTATTGTACGATTGACTAGACCTGACGGATTGACCGACTGGCAAGAATAAAAAGCTCCAATGATCAATATCGCCAGCAACCCATGGCGATTCCGTTCAAACCCATAGCATGGACATTATTTGCAGTCATCGACTTATCCAAACAGCCTAGGCTGTGCTGAAAGCTTTCTTATTGCTTTATTGCTTCTTTGTCAATCATCATCATACAGTACAATCGATATTGGAAATAGAAAAAAATCAACTCCAAAAATTAATGGTAATGTCATTATGTACATCATAATTTACAAATAGTATCGCATCATCAAGTATGCAAGCGCAAATTGACAGTAACAGTACACTTTCAAAATCACAATTCTAAAGCCAACTCTACTCCGTGATAGCGATAGACTTTTACTTTAGTACAATACATTGTCCATGTTGTCATTTACAAGGAAATTTCTCCTGTAATCACAATACGCAACAAGTTAGTGCCTTGACCATGGGTAGACAGCCTTGCGTGCCATGTATCCATTAAGGTTAAGGGCGGTACCACAATCCAGTTAATGGGCCAGCCACATCAACTATCAGTATCTGAATCAGTTAAACGCAAATCTTCACCTAAATAAACAAAGAGAGGAAAAATAAATGGCAGACATCAAAACGGTTTGGACCGAACCGAACCTTTCTCAGGTCTAATTGCAGTCTACCATCATGGCTAGTAACAATCCGTGCATTTTTGTCATTTGTGTGCGATCATCATCAAGTACTGTACAGTACAATATCAGTTCAATTCAGAAAACAGCTCTCTTTCATAGTCCAAATTCACTTACTGAGTATTCCATCTTCTAAATCATTCTTGGCAGCTTCATACAGACTACGACGCTTATTATCGCTTGCTGATCGAGTATTTTGACTGACCGTGCTGCTTACACGATCATCTTGAGCTACTGAAGTCGTATCCTCTTCACTTTCACTACTGTCAGAATGGTCGCTATTGCTACTGCTGTCATCGCTCACTTTATTTCCATAATCGTTCTCCAGCTGCACATCGTCTTCGTCCTCACTGCTACTAGCGCTTAACCTGTATGATTTTTCTGACGCTAAACCAGCATTTTTCTTGATATCTAAGAAATATCAATTGGATATCAAGCTATGGCGCCCATTCTATTCTTCAAATACATCTTGAATAAAGCAACAACCATGTGACAAATTGATCGATTGGTAAAAAAAAGGCGTTACCTTGAGAGCCAGCAAGTCTTTTATTGCTAGGTATATTCATTTTACAAGTTGTATTAGGAGACTGGGAAATTTTACGCAACTTGAGTTTCGTAGGTTGTGAATTGACTTGACAACTTACTGTTCTGTTCATTGCAATAAGAGAGGGTTAACCAGTAATGCAATATCGATTGTAAACACTCAGTGTCACTTAGCTTAATATCACTATTGCCAAATACCTTGTGCGTTTCAATTGCATGTGGCTGCCAATTCTTTCTAATGTTATAGTCTAACATGATGAATAATGCAAATTAATCAACCAATCAATCAGATCATCGACTAAAAATGACTCTATGCATAAATCCTACTGATTACTCAACAAATCAATTCTTAGTCGGATGCTTGGAATTTATTTGCACATGACATGGCTAAAACGATCCTTGTACCTTGGATTTTTTATTAATTAGTAAAATGCATTCTTTGGAAGATGGTCTCATTGAGCCTTTGAACTCAGTGGCAGTACTTTGCTGTGGTGATTGAGGGTCATTTGCATTCTGTAACATGATGATCATTTTTTACAATCGAGTGTATTGTTCTAACTTGAGTTTAGCCAATATTTCATCTTGTAATATGGATGATCACTTACTTGGTGATGGGGTAAAGTCACGGTGCAGTCTTTATTGCCACCTATCTTGATGTTGCCAGTGCTGTGGACATCAATAGAAGCGGGTACAAAGTCATCTATTGAAAATGCAATCAACAAGCAGACTTTGAATCTTCATATCTGCATGATAAGTCGATGACGATACAGTGTCATGCAAATTATTTCATGTCCATTCTTGCAACCCAAGGCAAATACGCGTGTAAACTATGTATCAGCAATACATCCATTTGCTTCCACTATCCAAAATCAACATGATGTACGGTCGTTTATCGAACTATCATGCTATCACTGTACGCGTATGAAGGTGTATGACAAATGACAATCTGCAAGTTTTTGCACTTTCTTTGCAATGGTACTTACCAATTGATTGTTATTCTTTTAGTTGGAGTCAATGGATCAACTGTAATAGTAAGTTTCAACTTGATACTGATGGCTTTTGGAAAGACAGTAAGTTAAGGGTCTACGATGGTTACCGACATGTTTGAAAAGGTATGATCATGCCTGTTGTACGCTATTGATTGCATGTTGTATTGCTAGTGGGCAGTGTTGACCGAAACGCTGGTACCGTACTTACCTATTGATGGTTATTCTTTTAGTTCGAGTCAATGGATCAACTGTAATAGTAAGTTTCAACTTGATACTGATGGCTTTTGGAAAGACAGTAAGTTAAGGGTCTACGATGGTTACCGACATGTTTGAAAAGGTATGATCATGCCTGTTGTACGCTATTGATTGCATGTTGTATTGCTAGTGGACAGTGTTGACCGAAACGCTGGTACTACGCGTACTACCGTGATAGTATGGGACTACGTCTGTAGCCTGTTGGAATGACATTATTATCAAGCTATGTTTGTCGCTATCAATATTGCTCTATTTTACAGCACTATATTATACTGTCCATGATGAAGAGAAGACGCTGGCTAGTTTAAACCGACACAAACACTATTTTACATGTCCAGCTGTACTGTATTTGGAAAGATCTGTGATGGTCACAAGCGATATTGTAATCATCAGAATAATCCTACTACTGGGGTAGTTTGATAGGACACACGTAGTCCATCGTCTATTGCCTAGGAGGCAATTGTTATTGTGGGATTGAACCTTTGATTGAAAAAAAAGACAGTCAACAAGTCCTAAGCAAGAAAATAATACTGTCCAATTTGACCTTTGAAAATCAATCGGAGAAAATTGATGATAACACTGTTGATTTTGCCTTGTCAATACGGTAGTATGAGATGAGCATAGAGTCTTTTGGTAAGGCACAACTATGTCAATGTATGCTAGTCAAAAGCTAACCGAGAATACAGGTTTCAAGTTCATAAAGTAATTGTACAATAAGACATACAACGAATGGTATGAAATAGTTTCTCTTCACAGCTGCCAAAACTGCTTCCTAGTTTGAATTGGCGATTTTCACCAACTGCGATCAAGTCCTCTGCCATTGCTGCCACTGTCTGAAATGCATTTCAGACGTCTGACAATACGTCTTTTCCATACTGTACTGTATATAGTAATTAGGCGTATTGTCCAGTATGAATGATTGCTTGCTGTAGTGCCCTTGCCAAAGCGTCTGTGATTTTCCCTATTGTACCTTGTATGGTGGTGTCCTGTTTGTACACTGTACAGTGTAGAGTATGCTTTTGGCTACCGTCAGACAGTGGCTTCCAAAAAAGTCTCCTAGTCGCTCTCTACCTTGTCCATGGCTGTACTGTTTGGACGTAGTCCAGTAGACAGTATGAATGTAGACCATGATTAGAAGAAGGTTTCCCACACTTCCACTACAGTATCCTTTACTGCTTTAGGAGAAGGATTTTGATGCATCATGGACAAGCCAATCAAAGGACTGTACAGTACAGTAGGCGCACTTTTTCCCTTCTTATGGGCCTTCCTTACTGTACGTCATCCATTGCAAGTATGAATGTAGACCATGATTAGAAGAAGGTTTCTCACACTTCCACTACAGTATCCTTTACTGCTTTAGGAGAAGGGTTTTGATGCATCATGGACAAGCCAATCAAAGGGCTGACTGTACACTGTACTGTAGGCGCACTTTTTCCCTTATGGGCCTTCCTTACTGTACATCATCCATTGCAATGACGATGTAGAAACCCAATGAACTTATGTTGTGTTATGATACTGTAGGACATTGTGGCATGGTTGACTAACGTCCATTTCTGTCTACATGCAAATTCAGTACAGCGTGTTTACATTCGCTTGAGATTATAAGACTTTTATTTTAATGCTATTATCAATATCAAAACGTTGTCGATTTCATACCAGCATGTAGCTAATGAGCTGAAGATTCTACAGTACAGTACTGTACAGTATACTGTATGAGTGAGTAAAAGTCAATTTGAAATAACACTCAAATCATTCTATCTACAGTACAGTACAGCATGACTTTGGAATGGATTGCATTGGTCTTCTACAGTACTTTTTGAAAGTGTATAGTAAGAGGGTTTGGCTACTTTGGCATACTGTACTGTACACTGTACAGTACAGTACTGTTTGGATCGTTCATGGACAAGCCGACCAAAGGATGGGACTGTACACTGTATACTGTACTGCATGCGCACTTTTTTGCGAATGGGGGCCTTGCTTAGGCTATGCAATCCAATTCCAATGGCAATGTAGAAAGCCAATTAGCTTCCCTTGTGCTATGATACTACAGTGAGACATGTTTGACTTGTGTCCATCTATAGACAGTGCATGCCAACCAAGTATGCAGTAGTACAATTTTGGAATCCATTGGATTTGTCTTTGGCCATGATCTACAGTACTGTACACTTGTACAGTACAGTAGATATCGCCAGGTTTGGTTTTATGCGGTCTACACTAGTACCCTATCATACCGTATCGGACCGAACCGTACCGCATCGTATTCTGTACAATGGACATGTTGGCCGTACTGTATGCGCAAATTGCCGATGCGACATTTGAAAAACCGTCGAGGTAAGAGAAAAAAACTTCTGACGGCGCTTGTATGAGATAGTCAGTCCAATTTCTGACGGCACTTGTATGAGATAGAGAGTCCAATTTCTCAACGGCAATTACTGTATATGACATACTATAGACAGTCCAACTTCTGACGGCACTTGTATTAGATAGAGAGTCTAATTTCTTGACGGCAATTACAGTACATACTGTAGACAGTCCAACTTCCGACGGCACTTGTACACTACAGTATGAGATAGAGAGTCCAACTTCTTGACGGCAATTACAGTACTGTACAGTACACTGTACAGTATATTTACAGTACATACTGTAGGCAGTCCGACTTCTGACGGCACTTGTACAGTATTACTGTGTAGAGAGTAAAACTTCTTGACGGCAATTACAGTACTGTATATTTACAGTACATACTGTAGACAGTCCAACTTCTGACGGCACTTGTATTACTGTGTACTGTAGAGAGTAAAACTTCTTGACGGCAATTACAGTACTGTACACTGTACAGTACTGTATATTTACAGTACATACTGTAGACAGTCCAACTTCTGACGGCACTTGTACTGTATCACTGTACAGTACAGTACTGTAGATAGAGAGTAAAACTTCTTGACGGCAATTACAGTACATACTGTAGACAGTCCAACTTCTGACGGCACTTGTATGAGATAGAGAGTCCAACTTCTTGACGGCAATTACAGTACTGTACACTGTACAGTATATTTACAGTACATACTGTAGACAGTCCAACTTCTGACGGCACTTGTACAGTATTACTGTGTAGAGAGTAAAACTTCTTGACGGCAATTACAGTACTGTATATTTACAGTACTGTAGACAGTCCAACTTCTGACGGCACTTGTATTACTGTGTACTGTAGAGAGTAAAGCTTCTTGACGGCAATTACAGTACATACTGTAGACAGTCCAACTTCTGACGGCACTTGTATCACTGTACAGTACAGTAGATAGAGAGTAAAACTTCTTGACGGCAATTACAGTACATACTGTAGACAGTCCAACTTCTGACGGCACTTGTATGAGATAGAGAGTCCAACTTCTTGACGGCAATTACAGTACTGTACTGTACAGTACAGTATATTTACAGTACTGTACATACTGTACTGTAGACAGTCCAACTTCTGACGGCACTTGTATTACTGTACAGTACAGTACTGTAGATAGAGAGTAAAACTTCTTGACGGCAATTACAGTACAGCACTGTACAGTACATACTGTAGACAGTCCAACTTCTGACGGCACTTGTATGAGATAGAGAATCCAACTTCTTGACGGCAATTACAGTATAATTACAGTACATACTGTAGACAGTCCAACTTCTTGTAAAACTTATACAGTATGAGATAGACAGTCTAAGTTCTTGACGGCAATTACAGTACTGTATAATTACAGTACATACTGTACAGTACTGTAGACAGTCCAACTTCTTGTAAAACTTGTACAGTACAGTATGAGATAGACAGTCCAAGTTCTTGACGGCAATTACAGTACATACTGTAGACAGTCCAACTTCTTGTAAAACTTGTACAGTATGAGATAGACAGTCCAAGTTCTTGACGGCAATTACAGTACATACTGTAGACAGTCCAACTTCTTGTAAAACTTGTACAGTATGAGATAGACAGTCCAAGTTCTTGACGGCAATTACAGTACTGTATAATTACAGTACATACAGTACTGTAGACAGTCCAACTTCTTGTAAAACTTGTACAGTACAGTATGAGATAGACAGTCCAAGTTCTTGACGGCAATTACAGTACATACTGTAGACAGTCCAACTTCTTGACGGCAATTACAGTACATACTGTAGACAGTCCAACTTCTTGTAAAACTTGTACAGTATGAGATAGACAGTCCAACTTCTTGACGGCAATTACAGTACATACTGTAGACAGTCCAACTTCTTGTACAGTACAGTATGAGATAGACAGTCCAACTTCTTGACGGCAATTACAGTACATACTGTAGACAGTCCAACTTCTTGTACAGTACAGTATGAGATAGACAGTCCAACTTCTTGACGGCACTTGTATGAGATAGACAGCAAAATTTCTGACGGCACTTATATGAGATAGACAGTCCAACTTTTGGACATAGTCACAGTGGAACAGCGTCGAAGGAAGAGAAAAAAACTTGTTAACGCCACTTACTGTCCAGTATATGGCATACTGGAGAGTGTAGACAGCAAAACTTGTGAACGGCACTTGTATATGAGATAGTCAGTCCAATTTCTGGACATAGTCACAGTGGAACAGTGTCGAAGGAAGAGAAAAAAAACTTGTCAACGCCACTGGTAGAAGATAGACAGTCCAACTTCTACACGGCAACTACAGTACCGTGTATAGGACATACTGTAATCAGTCCAACTTGTCAACGGCACTTCTATGAGATAGTCAGTCCAATTTCTTGACAGTGGAACAGTAGACAGTGTCGAAGGAAGAGCAAAAAAACTTGTTAACGCCACTGGTAGAAGATAGACAGTCCAACTTGTCAACGCCACTGGTAGAAGATAGACAGCCCAACTTGTCAACGCCGTCATAGTGGGCACAGCCGTCGATGCTGCTAACACACAATCTGGATTGCGTGCGTTTATCTCCTTCAATTCCAGCCAGAACCACTGGTAGCGCAGACGGTCAAGCAAGTAGCTCAAATTAGCCAGTAAAAGGTCCAATTCAAGCATTGGCACGCCATCCAGGCCGACGGTACTTTTCCTACAATTTCATCGACCAATTCAACGCAAAGAAAAGGAATGAACCGTGACAAAAAGGAAAGTAGGAAAGTTGTTCATGCTGGCAAAGATGGCAATCAACGCATACACAATGATAGAAATCATGAAAATAATGGTAACAAACATAGCAATTTGACCTTAATGAGAAATCGAGATGGAAAAGTCAGCCGAGTTGAGCTACAAATGGAACAAATGAGGCAGTTATTGCTCTTTAATCTCGAGCTAATACAGCAGCAAAAGGATTGGCTTACTACAAAAGATGAACAAATTGCCCACTTGAAAGATCAAAATGAAAAGGTAAGCCTTGCCACATCATTTTCTACTTCATCAACCCTGTTATTGCGCCCATTTTCCTCCGCGTCGTTTTGCATCTTGCAAGTCGACATCATGTCGTCTTGATCCATCCTGACTGACTTTATGCTTGCATAGTTGATTACACTCCTTTGACACCCACTGCTGATAGCGTACCTACTGTAGTCGATCACACTACGCTAATGTCCATTTTTTTCAAACTGATTCCCAAATTGCGATCGCTAGCACACCTTGACTACACTATATCACTTTGCTATCACTGCAATGCAAGGACAGTACTGTACTGTTAAATGCGTTCAACTAGTACAATAACACTGACTGCTGTCATATGGCCCGCGCGCCTATCGATCAATGATATTGTCCCAACTTGCTTTAATGACATGATAGGCGATTGATGAAAGTCTAGTAGAGGAGGAGAGAACCAGACGTTCTACTTTTCAACAGTCCATTTTATACTGTACTGTATATAGTAGCCGATTTACAGTATGTATCAATGATCAATGTACATTCTCTTCTTCTTACTTTAGGCCATTGCACAATTCTAATAGCCTTCGTAGTCATGTCAACAATAACAATTTTACAATGGCCGACTGTATCATTGGTACAGTGTCTATGCCGTAAGACATAATCAAAGCAAAGTCAGCCTTGAGGATAGCATCCACAAAATAATTACACTTGGCTGTCACCGATATCGTTTTCATATTTTGCCTTATTTGCCAAGTTAGTAACATACTTCAAAATACATTCTCATCAATCAACAACGTTGCTCAATCGACCAACGATAGGGTACTGTACAGTATAGATGTAGATACATTAGACAACAGTATTTACAATTTGCTTCACCGGTGTTTTCCACCCAAGACAAAATTGTTTCCCAAATCCAATTTTGACCCAGGATATAACATACTGTACAACACTGTGTATTCTCTGTAAATAGGCTCAATCTAACCGTCGATGATTAATAGTATTGACTGTACAATATCATTCATAGTCCATTCTTTCTTTTTACTACTATAGTTACTAACCTTGCTGCGTAGCGCACATTCATTCATAAACTTGTTATTAAAAAATTCTCCATTCAATGCATTAGCAAGTCTTGATTAGTGTAGAGTACAGTACTGTACTGTAAAGCAGAGTCCATGTAATATAACTGTAACTGTCCACGCCTATTGGCAATCATCATGATAAGTGCTGTAGAAGAAAATCGTTGCTGCTACTATACTTTCCTTCGCTGGACTGCATTACCAATCGCATTTCTACAGTATACTACTTCTATAAATACACTTTCAAGCTCGAATTAGCACTATATCATGTCTTATGTCTTGCATGATATAGCTACGAAGCAGGCTAGAAAGACTAGAACGCAGAATCACGTTAGAACGAAAAGGAAATCTTCGAAGAAGAGTCAGAAGTGAAGAGGAAACGTTAGAATCGTAAGTGAAATTAGATACAAACAATTGTACGCTACTTGGCCATTGGCCAGTAACATACTTCCACGCCTGTACTTAGTAAAAATGTATAAGGTTACTAGTAGGCTCAGCTGAGTCAAGTCAGTGATGATGATGATTGTAGAGATAGTCATGAATTATTCAAAGTTATCTTATTTCTCATCTCATTTTATGCTCTACAACGGGTAGTATTCAAAGCATTGAGATCGAAAATGACGTTAAGGAAACTAAAGAATCCAATGAAATGAATATAACAGGATTTAGAAATGCAAATTATCTGACGACAAAGCTACCTTATCGACATTTGGATCATATCATGAATTTTTGCGCTGTATCAAACTTTCAAAATGTACCACCAATTAAGGTTGCTAATAAAGATGACGACGTACTTGGTAATGAAGCATAAAAACTTTCTAATATTATCCGCTACATTGCATATACCGTCCTAGATTAACGCTAGTGTAATCAAAAGTTCATTTATCCATTGATCATTAGTCCCTAAGTGGCGCGTATGTGACGATTCTAATGATATGCTACCTGAAGATGAAAGCAATGCAGAGCCAGAAGAAGAAGAAGCGGAAGTGAGTTATGCGTTTGCCAATGTCTTTTATCGCTTAATTTTAATATCTGCTATTTCATTGCGTTTTAGACATTGTCGGATAGCGATTACGCCAAACGTCATTGGAAGCATGAATTGGATGAAAAAAGACGGAAAAGGTTCATCTTTATTTGTAGCACTGATTACTTTCAGTACTTTGATTCCAAACTGTAGCCTCGATAATATTAATGCCCTTGGTTTCTTTTCACTTATAGATGGGATTTGCAAAGAATCCGAGAAGAACAACTGAAAGAAAACTTGAGAAGGCGTTCTGAAGAGAAATCGACTTCTAAAACGTTATCCAAATCTCGTAAGAGAAAATCACTTGAAGAACAGCGAATAACTTCTTTTGATCCATCAGTGGATAACAGTAAGTAACAGGCAGCAAAGTAATATAGCTTTAGCAGTAAAAATTTGTCTGGTATACCAAATTTGAATAATAATTTATACCATTTTTGGAATCAAGTAAAGGGTATATGCGTTGAAGACACGATACCTGTTGTTGCCTTTGGTAGTACAATCCCCATATTTCCTTCTAGGTATATAAGCTAAATAGGATGACTGGAATATATTTGTAATATCTTTTGTCATGATTCAAAAATAGTAATAGTCTGATCAACTGTGTCAGTATAGGGGATTAAAATATTGTTCTAAGTTAATCATGATCTTGCATTTCAATCCAGCGAATTTTCTCTCCCATGGTTTAATGAAAGCAAAGTCGACATGGACAATGACGAAAGGTCTACAAAAAAAAGAAGAAAATCCAGAAGAAACAATTAGATCTATTCCTTACTGTAAAAATACTTAGAATGACAGCGTGCGACGCAAGTGTGTATGTCAAACTGCTAAAGTAAATACAATCAAAGTACTGTATTTTAAATATCATCTCACTCAAGCCTAACACAAAAGCTTGCACGGATAAGCTCTTGCAAGACAGTAATTTTGCTATCATTTTTCCTAACGTATATATTAAGCGAATCTTCTATTTTGATACTGTAATGTAAGTAACTGTATCTACCAACTGCTCGGGCAGATTTATAAGGGCTTTCTTTGTACCGTAAAAATTCAAATCTATTTCATCCCTGAACACTTTTTAAGCGCTGTAGCTATGTAAAATTCTGGAAAATTATGGCGATGATAGTCAATTTGGCGTCAAGATATTGTACAGGTATTATCACAAAGTATCGACAAAGGCAGTCAGTCAGAATGCATTGAAACAACCCTATTGAGTATTATGCGTATTCTATATTAGTATATAATGCGAATTCGCTATAATCGGCGCTGTTATTGCATTACATTAAATATGTGCTGTATACGACGCAATAGTAATTACGTATGAACACGTTGGATTGCTTCATTTTTTTAGCATTAGTGTATCGAATGAGCCGTAAAATGTCGCTTTCCTTATTTTCTTTTTGACAGAAATTTGTTCAAAAATTAATTTTTAATTGCCAATCGTAGCCAGTTTTCGTTATGTAAATATTAGAGATTTTTAAAATACTCAAAGAATGCCTTGCCGGTTCTATAAATAATTATATAACTGATTGATTTTGCACTTACGGCTCTAAAAATCGGTTATTAAAATTTTAAATTTTAATAATAATTGTGTCCGCTATCGCAAAGTCAATGTTAGTACTGATGATAGGATCGGAAATCATAGTGCAGTGTGCACTGTGGGAAAGGTCTAAACAGCATTCTTGAGTGTGGTAGTCATTGTAGGGCTTGATATCTTTGCATTTAATGGTTATGATTGATTTTAATCTATCTCCGCAAAGTAACAATTACATCTGGATTACAGGTGACTGTGGAAAGTTGTAACAACTAATTATGATCGCGATTTCTATTCAAAATTTAATACTGAAATAGGTGTAAGATTATCGTAGATGTATAGAAGAGAAAATGGGATTTCTTCTGCATAAGGTGATACTGACTGTATTAGTATTGCTAATTTTTATTAATTGTCTACTAGCCCAGGTCAAATTTTCAGCTTTCTAGTTGTATTTAGAGCTACAATTCGTAAATATATTATCGTCCAAATGAAGAGTTTAACCGATGTTTCAATAGACCAGAACTACACTCTACTTGCAAAATTTGTACAGTACTGTCTATAAAGCTGCTGTAAATAATTTAAGAAATTGCTTTTACGCCTCGATAAGATTAACTAAATCAGTAGAGTAGCACAATTGATAGTACTTGTAAATATTGATCATGACCCTCTCAGCAGGTCTTGACAGTTTGGACTTTTACTATCAATGATTTTAACTACACTTTTCTAGATACCGTACTGTGCACTTCACACCTTACGATTAATATAAGATAGAAATTTGAAGAGGTTCGACGGTGATCATCATAATTTCTTACAGTTAAAATAGAATCTAACTTCTACAGACACAGTCCATTGCGAGTAAAAACGATAGTAGTTAAAATGTAAAATTTATTTATCCTATGTTATGGCTTCAGTAAAATCATTACAGCAAACGTGATACATGATAAGCATCACGTCTGCCGGATTGATGTAAAATATCAAGTTAGTCATAAATAAGAGCAAAACACAATAAATAAAATTGGTGAGGATTATCACCTTGATAATTGATATTCGATACAGTATCGAAGAAAACATGTTTTCCTAATAGGACTAGCGCACTTGATAAATCCTTTTATTTACTGAGAACGAGATTTTTTCATGCAATAGCAGTAAAGTATTACAGCAATAACTTCTTATAAGATTTCTATTCGTTCGAGGAACATCCACGCATCAGTATCAAAGCAGATAAAATCTTCTTTCATATACAGTGGTATACATATATTTGTATATTATAATTCGAGATTGTCTTGTATCATTGATTATATTGCAAAGATGATTCTCTTTACAATGTCAGCCAATCTATCTCAAGAAGCGACTACTGGTGTACGTAGCGTACGCCAGTCTAACATAACTGCGACAGCAATCCACTTTACGTTTACATTATAATTCTGTACAGAACTTTACTTTACAAAATTGTATCATTGTAATTGATTCAAATTGGATAAATTCTCATTATAGTACATTATTTGACGATCATACAGTAGGAAAAAAATTGAGGAAGAAATAAAAATAGTTGAGTGGTCGGAAAAGAGATGATGGTTTACAGTATCACGAATGGCTAGCTTCCTTGACAAGAAATATCGGCTTTATCCGTTTCTTAAATGAACTCTTGTATGTTACGCTAAGGATTAACGAGTTAATTCCATTTCAAGAATTCTACCCCATGTATCGACATCAAAAGGTCTAGTAGGGAATGTCGGTAATTGATCTATGCTACAAACTTGACTCATCTTGCCCGATAACCAAAAATTCAAAGTTAATTTTTTATAATAGTTCATTTTAGCCAATTGCTTGAGAGATTGTTGACCTTGCTCATCATCAAGTATCGATACATCGCAAAGTTGCTTCCAGATATAATCTGTATGATTAATAAAATCATGCCATGTTGTACATGTCTGTAAAGCTTGAGATAAATCGTTGTAATTAGCTAAACCAAAGATCATGACACTAATTTCCGCTGGCAAAAGATTGACGAAATCCATGAGAGATTGTGCTATTTCCGATCCACAGATGACCAACTAAGCGTTGCGGCAATCAGTCATCAACAATTTATACAGTACACACCATTCAATTGACAATTTGTCTTCACAGCAAGTGGTTGTCGCTAAATCAGTGCTGCCAACAAAATGAATCAATCACCAACGACGTCGTAAATCAATTCGAATCTACAGTAGCAAGTTGATAGTATGATCCACTTCTTCTCCAGGTGGAATTAAGTACTGTTCATCTGTAAACAACATCGATTTGAAAAATCGCCTTTCTCCGCATGATCTCTATATAGGGTCTTGAACGTGTCGTACGGTAGAAGGGCAAGTACTGGAAATGAGTCACCAAATTTTCGCCGCTAGAAAAGGGAAGGGTCCAAACATCACCATGGAAACAATGATTTCATTGGCTAATTTTATTATTGGTTTGAATGACGTACAGTACCAGACGTGTCTAATTGTATGTATTGTAACTGTACACTGTAGAGGCGATTCTACAGTACTGTACTAAAGTATAAATATATACAGTACTATATACAGTACTATATATACAGTATACTGTACTAAAGTATAAATATAGTACTGTAGTAGGCTATACAGTATATTTGTTAGATTGTACGATGTACAGTACTACGCTAGTCATAATCAGAGAAGATACAGATAGTACAGTACTGTACTGACTACAGTATAAATATAGTATAGTACAGTATGTATATACAGTACTATATATAAATATATATATATTGCTACGGTATATATATAGCATATATAACTAGTACATACATGTATATATATATATATATATATAGTACATATATATATAGCATATATAAATAGTACATATATATATATATATATATATATATAGCGTATACAGTATATATAGTAGTTAGCTATATATTTGTTAGATTGTACGATGTACAACAGTACAGTGTACTACGCTAGTCATAATCAGAGAACTTGGTAAAATAAAATAAGAATTTTCATAATCAGAACATTATCAATTCAATAATAACGACTTCATTGATAATAGTAGCTCCAACTGTTTTGGCAATTACTTCAGTAATGGCAAGTTACATATATATTGATTCATTGTTTGAATCAGTCCATTATTATGATTATGATAATCATCAAGGATATGGTTTTGTATGTCATTAGAACATATTACTACACTTAACTGAATAGAACAGTTATTCATATTATTATCTTGTACAACATACAGTATCATGACAGACTACCTAATCTGTCTTCCCTGTGTGGTTATCTCCTTGTTACTTATTTCTAATAAAGTGATTGATTCCCCTATCGATTTTTCATCCCATTCACTCAGCCTGACATCGAGAAATATTACCGGTATTGATGCAGCATAGTAGTGTACAGTAGTACAGTACATCAGGGACTTCTGCAAGGCAATGAAAAGTCTCTGGTACAGTAATGAAAGGATCGTACTTTCTCACTCACTTTAAAACATGATTAGGATAGTCCAATTTGGTGGACCAGAGCTAATACATGACTTATATGGACCGTAAACTATCAACGAATCCTTGAGAAATTATTTCGTAGTCCATATACGTACAATACAGTCGTTCTAATGGTACGCGCTGCAACGGTTCAACGTATAATTTTCTTCCAACTACGTTAAATTATTTATCAGAACCTTCATTCGCGCGGCATGGCGATAATGTGCTATATCCAGTGTACGGGTTCGGCTAGTCCTTTATACGCTAAAAAATAAATGACGGTTTTGCATATGATGGCTATAGAATTACAGCAGAAAGGATGGATATACCACCAAAAAAATGACTTTAATGTGTGTAACTGTTAATGCGAGCACTTGTTGCGTGCGTAAGAATAAAACTTCTACCTGGATAACGATGCCTTTTCCTACAGTCCATAACCCAAAACGATAGTATTATATTTATATGTTTGGCACTTACGGTTAATCTGAATTATACAAGTTTTATTCAAAGGCGTAAAATGGTATATCTTATATAACGGCAAATGTCAACATCAATTAGACATAGATATCAATATCTAAATTCCAACTTGAAATAATTTAAAAAAATAGCATCATCTATCTTTACATGATACAACAAGAAGGATGTATTGCGGCGCTGAGCAATGAAAGCAAGTATAGTTGCTATATAAAAGATACCAATTGTACTGTACAGCATATACAATGTACAGTACAATATGAAACATACAGTAAGCCATGACTGAAAGTTATAATTGCTGTAGGTACATTTAAATAATATGATAAGGGTAATAGGCACAGAATTTGTAAAGAAGAAATTTTTATCCTTATACGAAAATGATAATAAATCATACAGTAGTTTATAACTTATTGTAATTAGGTACCATATACTTACACAACTCATTTAATTAATGTATTAAATAGACGTATATACAGTAAATCAGTTTCGGCAATTTTTTCCTCGAATTAGGATAAAATGGTAATGAATCATTCATCATATATAAAAAGGAATCTTTACAAATGCAGCACGATTTCAAAATAAAAAAATCAATCCACAATAGCGTGATTAGAGTAGCAAATAAATGGGCTATGTTATATGTACACAGAATTTATACAAAAGAGAACTATATTATGTGTGGCGCGATCAAATCATTGATAGTCTGTACATTCAAAGTAATTAGCTCGGAAAAAGATTATCATATTACACCGATGAATTGCGCTCAGCGAGAGGTTCTGTCATCATCAGTTTCGCGACCTCGGTGTACTGAGCAGATTGCTCTTGTAACAGCAAGAAGATAGACTTAATATCTGTTTTTAGGTGCTTCTCTAATTCATCTATACGTTTCGATAGGATCGCAACTTGCCCTTTCAGTTCTTCCATAGGAAAAGACGAACATTCAGAATGTTCATTATTACATGTATCAAGAACACTGGATAAGCCTTCTTTATTATGTGAACATAGACTTGAACTGTCTACACTACTAGTTCCTTTGTGGTTCTCTGCATGTAAATCGTTTTTGCTTTGCAACTCTGCCCTGTGGTCAACACTCTTGCTAGTAACTTCATCGTGATTGGTATTAGCACGATCCAACGATTGTGTTGTAGTGTTTGTTGTATCATCAGGAGACAGATAACTCCTACTAATCTTTGTTGTAATAGACGAAGAACTTGATCTTACTCTAACTTTACATTTTTCAGCATTACTTCTACTGTACAGGTGTTCCAAGCTACGAGCCGAAAGTGTAACAGCACTGCTACGGGTTCTTTCTCTTGGAAGTGATGGTAAAGAATTAACGTTCGATTCATCATTGTCATTTTCATTTTCAACTGTAGCTCGTTTCTACGGATAAAAGATAACGTCATACAACTTGTTTGCATCCTTTATGTATAATAAAGTTTTCATTTATGAGCGCTAGCAATTTAATAGTACCTCTCTTAAATTGTAAGTAATTTCCAGTTCACGAGAGAAGTGTTCAGCAAAATCTGTATACGCGTCTAGTACCTCAAGGAGACTTTCTCTACTAATAGTATGTAAGTCACAATAAGTTAATGCTCTAACATTAGCATTGGATTTAATAATTTCTCTGTGAAGATAAAAGTTTTCACCAAAGGTATCACCAACACCTAAGTAAATATTAGAAAGTTTTCAAGTTATATGTTAAAGTGATGACTATACTACACACTAGCATTTAAAGCAAGTTTTTAAGATCATACGACAACATACCCAATATTGCAACTACTACATCATTGCGAAGAACTTCGACCGATCCGCGAGAAACAAAATACAATGCATTAAGCTTATCGCCTTGCATGATTAAGTAATCACCAGGAGGACAATGAGTAGATTGAATCTTAAAAGCTAGCGATCTAAGACAGCTAGGTGAAGACGTCGCAAATACACCAGAGTTTTCTAATAAATTCCTATTTAGATGTAAGGAAATATCGGCTTGTAGACTCTCCGGAAAACTCTTTAATACCTATACCGAAATTACACATTTCAATAATTAGTAACCTGTATACAGTACCAGGAAAAAATTAGTTATTAACAAGGTTATTAGTCCTGCTTTTAAACAACCAATACCAAATATATACTCGTAAGCATTGTCGTGCTTGTATCGTGCTGTATAGGCGCAAACCATACGTTGCAATTGCTATAATTACGAAGTTATTTTTCTTCTTACTGATGTCATATCAATCCCTTTGTGAAATGACCAGGTATGTTGGAAATATTCGGCTAATCGATCTTTCAGTGGATACGGAATTTTGTGAAATTTGATAAATTCTCGAATCTTTTTTAAGTGAGCATGATATCGCGCAGTACTGGCATATAGCCTCTGGATAATGGCTGTCACATTACCAAATATCGATGCGTACATAAGAGCTGCAAAATAAAATTGAAAACATGCCCCTTTATTCAAAATTATCGAATAAAAAATTCAACATAACTTTACAAATAATACAGATATTCCTTTACTTACACCCAAGCCACATTACCAAAATAGCGAATACTTTCTCTGCTCTAGTAGTTGCCGAGACGTTACCAAATCCTACAGTAGTTAAACTGCTAAAAGTGAAGTATAATGCAGTTAAATAACGATCAGTTATCGGGGGGCCACTATCACCAAGGGTCTTATTGATAGGACGGTGAATTTCCTCTGACAGTTGATCCAACCATGAATATTTCGGCTTTGGCAGTCCCGGTCTTTCAGCAACACCAATTGCATACCATATACAAGCGAGCCAATGGGCTATTAAAGCGAATCCAAACATGAGTAGAATGAGTATCGCAGCTCCTGTTTCGGAATAACGATCGGCCTTCCTTACTACTCGGATAACTCGTAATAAACGGGCGGTTTTGAGTAGACCAATTAAAGTGATAGTCTAGGAAAATTAAGATTAAGAGTAGTTGCATAGTCAGTTTTAACTATAAAGAATATCAGCTGGTATAAATTACACAAACTATTCAGTAGATGGTCCGAAAAATTAATACATGTGATAATACCTGGTCATTTTGTTCCCCACCAATAAAGAGTTCAAATGGAATCGCCGCAATTATATCGATTATAAACCATGATTTAAGGTAGTGGAGTGCGATCTTTCTCCAATCAGTTACAATTTCATCATTCGAGTTGACGTAAGTTGTTCGAAAGTTTATTAAAATATCTATAATAAACGTAATATCCACTATCCAATCAATTACGAATAAAGGGTCATTGTAAGCATCGTCGATAGCGTGATTCGAACGTGTTTCAGGGTTGCGATCTAGCATAGCTTTTTGAGCGTCTCTAGTTAGCAAAAAAGAAGCTGCAAAGGGTGTCACTATCGCAGTATATAATACAACAACGAGAATTAACCAATCCCAAAAGGCTTTAAACATGGAATAATGTACAATCATGAATTTTGGAATATAAATCTCTTCTAACTTATACTGTGGTAACGCTGATCTGCGAACCTATAATAGAATATATATTAATTTCAATATTTGACATTGGTATTTAAAATTAAAATTAAATAATTTGACTATAATAAAGAGGAGTTTACCAACCGTCGAAAATCTTTTATTATTTTTCTCCGATTGAGTAACGTCTGATGGATTAACATTTACTTCATCTAATGCGGAGATTATTTCCGCATCTTTGCCTCGCTTGGCTTCTGAAATTGACTGACGTAAGTTATTTAATCTATTGCTAATAAATGATGTTCTAGATTCGTTTGCACCAGCTGGACGTCGAATGTTTACGTCATTTACAGATGCTGAGTCGTTAGTAAGACGACCAGTTGCAGTAACGTTATATTTATTACTGGCGTTGTCATCATCGCGACAGGTATCATCAGCATTAAAAGTACTTGTACTCGCACTATCAGTCTTGTCCGCAATGTCTGTAATATGTATGCGATCGCAATTTCCAATTTCAAATTGAGGTTTTTGTATATTGTCTGGATGTTTGGTGTTAGAGTAGTATAGGGATTTACTACCAATTTTAACTTTAGGAATACCGGCAGTAACACTTGAAGAGTCTTCATCACGGTTGCTTTTATTATTTAATGAAAATTCATTTTCTTTTATTGCTGACGAGATTGATAGATCAGATCTTTGACTTCGTAATGTAACTTGGTTGACATTGTTATGGGTGCTCTGCTTCCTTGAAAATCTTCTTATCTTTGAAACTACAGCATTGCCGCAAGTAAGCAAGACAATAATATGAGGATGATAAATCATGGAGAAGAATACAAATACATCGATAACATAAATAATAAATTAAGCTAAATCTATCAATTCATGATAAGCCAGACTGTAGCTGGCAGGTGAATTTGTATATATAACACGAAAATTTTAAGACACAGGATATCTCAACCATTAGATACATGATTTTAATAATTATTTCTCGTGCATAATTAATTGGTTGCGTATGACTTTTTCAAGATTTCTAAGACTTTACACGAATGTTTGCGGATAATTACAGTAAAAACTCCCAGAGATATTTTATATATCAAAATATGCCAATTCGGACGCGACTTTCCCACTCGCTATCATCTCAAACTGCAAGTAAAATACTGATATAATGATCATTTTTGGGGACTATAAAATACTGCATTATGTGTCATTATTTATCCTCGCATAGGCTCATTGGTTTACTTAGGTATAAAACTGGTCTACAGTTGGTTCCTTAGATTCATGTAAGGTTAAAGATGAAGGAAAGCACCATAGAAATTTTACAAAAACATGTAACATAAAGCAGGTTGAATTCGTGGAAATTTTCCCAGAAAGACTGCCGTAGGCGAACAAAGGCATTTCAAAAGCGTTGAGAAATTGGCTAATTATTAAACTTTAATAATAAATAAATAGTACTTACGCCTGTTCTGTTTTTTAATTTTGATATTTTCAGTAAGTTCTTCATGGTTAACAATGTACATCACAATTTTGTCAACATCATTGACAATGGGAGCTACCAAAACTGATACTATAATTGGAACCTCTGAAACACAATTCCAAATCATAGTCTTATTATAAAATGCATCCCATAAATCGATACAATAGTAAAATGATAGCGTGAATCAGTAATTAGGTGTTGTTGTAGGATTTATTTTTCAATTAAGTAATAAAAGCCATGCTTTAATAATAGCTTTACAACATGATACAAAATTAATTTACAGCTATTTCGAAGGAATAAGCTTTGGAGTTAACAGAAGCAGTGCTAAAGTATTTTAACACGTTGCAAATAAATCGAGTTGCTATATGGTATTCGAAGATATAAATACGTAGCTTTAATTTTATCCGTGCAAGTGTAACTAGTATCTCTAACAGTGTAATAGATAATTTTATGCTTAACCTTTAGTTCACACACGGTAAATCAAGTATCGAAATTCACTGATTTAAGTGCAATGATGTCGTTTATGAGAGTATGCCAATACTGAAACTGAAATTCTTGTCGATACCAGTAGGTCGTGCAAAATTTAATGTTAACAACCTCCACTATCGGATGGCCTAGAATAAGTGATCTATCACCACTAGTTTAATGTGCTTACCGTTTTTCGTGTAAAAGACTGCATCAATTCGTTGCTCATGAGGCTCCGTTAGGAATTTTTTAATGGAATTGATGGTAATTTCATCTGTTTGTTCACCTTGTAGAAATTTACAATGGCTCGACTTTTGCATTAACTCAGCACGAGTGTATCCATAAAGTTTACAAAATCCGTCACTGCAGAAGACAATAGGGCAATCAGGAACAGTAGCATTGGCCAATATGAAGCTTCGACCTGTAGAATTGCATAATATAATAATGATAAGTTTTCTTATAACATTTATACATTCTTATGTATAATTTTTTATATCTGTTAAACACTATGATCGTAGAAATATGATCTATCACGTGGTAAAGCCCAGAATATATTTTTATTTTCACCTACAGTAGAGAGCAGTATACTTCTAGAATATAGCATACTGTATCATCTTTACAAGGTCAACATTTTTAAAACATTTAAGATTTAATTGTAATAATCCTTAATTAAATCTAATGAAGAGCCAAAATTCCATTCTTCTGAATGTAATTTTAGAAACTTGGCTTAATGATAAGATTTAATTGTAAATTAGACTTTGGAAATATAGCAATATATTAAATATTCTTCTTAATTCAACTCTTTTGAATTACATAAACTAAATAAGTACGTACATTTTCTAGAATAGTATAAATTGGCTGTAGCTGAATGTGACGACTTGAATTATACCGTACATGCAATCATTCGAATAGGAGGATCTACTGTATCAATATCAAGCACCAAATCACGAGATGATCAAGGCTCGTTATTAAACTATCATGATTATCTACTGTATGTATTATTGTCTATGTTCAAATGAAATCACTCTCTATTTTGTGGTGTATCTTGCATAAAAATAGATCAACGTAGAGTCAGTGATGTGCCAGATTTTTGATCAATGTTTTATTCTAGTACGGCATGTTTATGTTGGTATACTGTAGTACAATTTAGTTTACCACCATTTATAAACAGTCTACTCTTGTTGAAGTTATGCTTTTATCGAAATTTGTTGTATCTGTCTGTCCACTTAGTCGGTTTCTATTGAAAGTAATTTTCGAATTTTACTTGGCCTATGCGTATTGCCGTACTCCCTTTCTCTCTTTCGCTTATTTTATTAAAAAGTCCTTGTCCCTTGTTCCTTTCCCTCAATGTTCTCAGACATATTTCTCCTCTATTATACAACTCTACTTCTACTGCGATAAAAGTACAAAGCATGGTATACTGTATATTGGGTTAGAGTCCACGAACAACAATATGGCACCGGACATACTTACTGGAGTTATTTGTATCATTAGTAGATTAGTGCACTGAAATTAAGGTGCAGTATTTGATCAGCAAAAAGCCTGAGGCTTGTATCGGATTAATTAATTTCAATGCTATTCTAATCTGGTATTGTTAAGCCGTTTTCAAAACAACTTTAGTTCTTTCACAGAACTATACTCAGATGTTCTCCAAGATTATGAAAGGATAAATACATACGCAAATAAACAAATAAAAAATTAGATTCAACGGCAAAACTATGTGCTTTATAACATATTCTTTGCTGTTATCATATTATTTGTTCAATATTAGTCCATACAGTAGATTTCTATGAATGTACGATTCGTAATTTATGACCAAGTTTGATCGCCGGCTTTTAGACGTCTCTAGGTACTATTTTACTATTCAATTCAGATACTCATTCTATTATTAGAAGAGGGATTTATTAGTTTGCATTGTGATTAAAATTTATTTATCATGGGAATTCAAAATTTCAAATTTCTGATATTGACGTGTAATATTGCCAACTTTCTAAGATTTATGATATGCTATCGAAATCGTATTTGATTCAAGCGTCTACTCAGTAGGGATTCGTAGCGTAAAATGCAGCCTGCGTGTATATTTTTATGCACGTCGACTGACTGTAATTACGTTAGCTATAGTAAAAATAATAATTCTTCTGTACATACTCCATTTACTTCTGTATTGACAGAGAACACAGGGTATGCAATGCATGTGAGAAATTTGCTATGTGTGTATTGTAAATAATCAACGCAAGTTGCCGAAATCTAGATTTATTATATTAATTGCAGTATTATAGGCAATGCAATCCATTTTAAATGGTGATAAAAATGGGTAACTGAAAAACGCAGTCTGCACTTTTTTTTATCAAAAATACTGTAATAAGGTAGTTAAATCAGAGTATCAATATCAACTATCTACCGTTATTCAACTGCTCTACCGGTCATTAGAACTACTGTATAATGATAGTATACTGTACACATAATATTGACAGTAATGTGCGTAATAACGTTTTACAATTTACGATAAAATATTGTTTACTGTAGTAGAAGTTGAAGACAAGAGCTCAGTTCATACTAGGCAGCTACATGATTGATATTATCGATAATAAACACAACAGTCCTTGCTGGCTGATCGTGATGAACGTTTGATCTGAAACGAGTAGGGAATTGAATCTAATTCTACATACAAAATGAACATCGTTACTTAACAATTTGGAAACGTACAGTATATCAAGTTGCCATTAACCTGCTGCGATCGGACAACAGTAAATAAATCATGAATAGTAATTGTTCAGCTATGATATAGACAAGTAGAGAGGTTGGTTGACAGTATTAACGACAAAACCATCATGACTTAATTTATTCAGTCATTTTGGGTTAGCTTTCACTTAGTACCATAGGAGATATCTTACCGCTACAGTATACAGTACAGTACAGTACATAAAGTTATGAAGATATTGGTTACAGGGATGCTTTGAATCCCAAAAGTCAACATTCATTTTTTTAGAAATGAATTTCTTATTTATCAAAATCTAAGATAACTTGCAAATCGCAACAATACAGTTCCTGACTAGTGGAGTAGTTGAGGAGATCTATTAACACATAAAGCGATTATAAGCCGAACTAAGTATACGAATATCCTTCCATGGACAAAGATTATAGGCGTGGAAATTTAAAAATACCTGGATTTTGTTCTCAAAACACCGAGACTTTATTAAGTAAACAATATCTCGATAGTCCCACAACGGGGAACTCTTTCAACTACTGGACCGCGTTATACAAGTTGTAAAGACTTTGAAGGTAAAAAAAAAAAAATATTATTAAGCCAAAGGCCAGCAGCCCGAGGGTTTGAGGAAAATAGCTCAAGATACGGGAACCCACCCACCATAAGATGAATAACCTCAGTTTACTACACTATATCAGTTAGCATTCGAGATTTCCATTTGGACATTAAAAATTGGCAATATACACGGATAAAACAGTCAAACGGTAGTGGTGGAACACCGTAGACAATGCTAAAGAGGAATCAAAATAATGTGCAATACAATAAGGCCAGCTTGCATTCAGTCAATCGTACCGCCTCCAAATTGATAGTAGTGTCCAAGAATACTTTACCGGATGAACAGTTCAACACTGGATATCTCATAAACTGAATGTTGTATAGGTAGAAAGAATTCTAAACAAACGTAATATCTACAATTGTACATGCTAGTGAAAAGGGAATAACGCTGAAACAGGTTTAACGTTGTAGAATATAATTAATAAACAATTGTCAACTTGCAATAATAGCATTGGATTCGTTCACACGATGATTTTGCTAACTTTCACCTTCAACGTCAATAGGCTATAATACCGAAATACATGGTGAAAAAATAAAACGACATGGCTATTACATTTAACGTAGTACTGTATATGCTTTGTAGATTAAAATTTTATATTTTCATTATTAAATAATGGCCATGGTTGGGTTTGACTAAATAATAAATAGGGGGGGGGGGAGAGAGAATCTTGGGGGCAACTACAAATTGATAAGTTGGTCATACCTGTACTGTCCACTGTACAGAGTATAGCATCGTTTTCCGCCTTTACAATATTTCAATTATAAATATATTATCACAGTATATCTTTAAATGTATGTACATCCATGTAACGAATAATACATCAAGACGGGTACGGATGCTATCCAATTTTTTCTTGAATGAAACAGTCGCAGCAGGAATAAAGAATAATGCATCCAAATAAACTCACCCAATACAGCTGTCATTTCATTCGAATACAGTAGTGTAGTATCGATATTGGTTCTATTTACATGTAAATGGTCAAAACTGGAATATTTGCAAGTCGAAGATTGATAGACTACTCGTAATTAGAATGGTTTACTTCTGGCATGGTTGGATTTGATTTGCGGTAGTTCATTTTTTAATTGTTAAGTCATTCCAGTATCGAATAGGACAATCATCATTAGCATCTGTTGTCACCATTGCTGTAATAAGAGCGTCAATTCACTTTCATAGTCATTACGAGCAAATGATGATGGAGACAGCAATTTGTATTGATGAATGTGTGCAGTAGAGTATTGTTGGATAGATCGAAAAGGATAGATGTGATCCAAACTGTCCTAGCTTGATTTCATAAATTGGAAAAGTCAAAGACATTTTATATTGTATCGAAATTGTTGAGATCATTATCATCCAAGTATTCTATGCCAGTGACGATACACGATGATGATCAAATCATTTGACGGTCAAGTAGTAGACAACGGCGCGACTCGAAAGTGAAAGTATGACCATCCAGGGTAGTGATGATGATTAAAATGGTAGGGGTATAGTTACTCGTAGAAACTGGAGATTGATTTTGATTGAGGATGATACATTACTATCCTACTGGAGTAAGTCGTGTTCTGGATTGTAGTGATGGGTATATTTGGGGGACTTTATTGTATCATCATGACTACAAAAATGGCCTACTTTCCAGTTGTAGTAGTCTGTTTCTGTACCGTATTTCCATCGCATCATGATCAATGAATCATTGGAGCATTGAAGATAGGAAGGAGATCAAGTTTAATCGCCGCCCGAGCACAAAAACAAGATAGCAAGGAGATCAAGTTTAATCGTCGCCCGAGCACAAAAACGAGATAGCAAGGAGATCAAGTTTAATCGCCGCCCGAGCACAAAAACAAGATACGTACGTATATTGAATAGAGGGGGAAAAAAAAACCCACTTTGGAAATGGGCAAAATGACCATATAGAATCGATATACAGACCTGGGCCATCGAATTTCTTAATAATGGTTTCAATAAATATATTTTGGGGCGCCTTTAAGCCTCGACGGATAGGCATGTTGAAAAGTGGATGTTGACGTTAACACGCGTTCTTCTCCAGTTCAATTGATTGGGTATTGGCAATGTTTCAAATAGGAAGAATGCTTCTACGTCTATCCATTGGCATGCAAGGACAAAATATCTCAATTAATGAATCAATCAATTAAGCCTCTAAAAGTTGTGAAATATTATTACCAATAGCCGATGTTAATTGAAATAGTCTATGGAGAGAAAATTGTACAACAAGGCATTTGGATTTATCTTTCCAATATCTATTTACCCTAATCTTAAAAGATTGCATTGGCTATTCAATTCATTGAAAGCGCACTTCACCACTGTAGTCACCTGTACTGTAGATTGTAAACTAACCATGTTTCAGGCAGAGAGTCAGTCATGACAACACCTGCCCTACAATCCTCTAGACTGTAATGAACAATGCTTTTACAGTACTCTAGGGGTCTAAAGTACCGTAGTGTACAGTACAGTACGTGTGTGGAAGCTCAGTAGACCTGAGAAAGGTTCGGTTCGGTTCGGTTCAAACCGCTATGATCTATACTGTACTGGAAAGTCATTTGATATTTCAAGTGCCATTTAAATGACAGACGCAAAAATGTGTGGAAAATATCCTGATATTACACTTAGAAATCTCCAATGACTTTCCACACACATCTTGTTACGTATGGAATTCATTTCAACGTGTTTTCATCTAAAGAGATCGACATCGTCAGTACCCAATAGGAGAAAGAGGACAACGAATCTACCGCTTCCAATCAACTAATGCAGTCATCCTGGTATATCCTGTTTTCTACAGGCATTTTCTATGGTAATGTCAAGCACAAAACACGTACTGTACTCTTGTCCATGTCTTCGTCCTGCGCTCGAGTGCTAGTCTATCAGTGAGTCAGTCCTACAAGACGTGTAGACTAAAAGGTGAAGCACACAACACGTACTCTTGTCAGGCTTCGAGTGCTAGTCTATCAGTGAGTCAATCCTACAAGACGTGTAGACTAAAAGGTGAAGCACACAACACGTACTCTTGTCAGGCTTCGTTCGTCCTGCTTCGAGTGCTAGTCTATCAGTGAGTCAGTCCTACAAGGCGTGTAGGCTAAAAGGTGAAGCACACAACACGTACTCTTGTCCATGTCTTCGTCCTGCGCTCGAGTGCTAGTCTATCAGCGAGTCAGTCCTACAAGACGTGTAGACTAAAAGGTGAAGCACACAACACGTACTCTTGTCAGGCTTCGAGTGCTAGTCTATCAGTGAGTCAATCCTACAAGACGTGTAGACTAAAAGGTGAAGCACACAACACGTACTCTTGTCAGGCTTCGTTCGTCCTGCTTCGAGTGCTAGTCTATCAGTGAGTCAGTCCTACAAGGCGTGTAGGCTAAAAGGTGAAGCACACAACACGTACTCTTGTCCATGTCTTCGTCCTGCGCTCGAGTGCTAGTCTATCAGCGAGTCAGTCCTACAAGACGTGTAGACTAAAAGGTGAAGCACACAACACGTACTCTTGTCAGGCTTCGAGTGCTAGTCTATCAGTGAGTCAATCCTACAAGACGTGTAGACTAAAAGGTGAAGCACACAACACGTACTCTTGTCAGGCTTCGTTCGTCCTGCTTCGAGTGCTAGTCTATCAGTGAGTCAGTCCTACAAGGCGTGTAGGCTAAAAGGTGAAGCACACAACACGTACTCTTGTCCATGTCTTCGTCCTGCGCTCGAGTGCTAGTCTATCAGCGAGTCAGTCCTACAAGACGTGTAGACTAAAAGGTGAAGCACACAACACGTACTCTTGTCAGGTGCGTTCGTCCTGCTTCGAGTGCTAGTCTATCAGTGAGTCAGTCCTACAAGACGTGTAGACTAAAAGGTGAAGCACACAACACGTACTCTTGTCAGGCTTCGAGTGCTAGTCTATCAGTGAGTCAATCCTACAAGACGTGTAGACTAAAAGGTGAAGCACACAACACGTACTCTTGTCAGGCTTCGTTCGTCCTGCTTCAAGTGCTAGTCTATCAGTGCGTCAATCCTACAAGACGGGTCTATTGTGCAGGTCGCATGCCCCCAATAACTTCAAGCACAAAACACGTACTGTATCACTGTATGTACTGTACAGTGTACAGTACAGTACTGTACGGTACTGTACTCTTGTCAGGTACGTTCGTCCTGCGCTCGAGTGCTACAGTAGTCCATCCGGGAGTCAATCCTACAAGACGGGTCTACAGTATTGTGCAGGTCACATGCTACCAATAACGTCAAGCACAAAAACCGGTACTGTATCACTGCATGTACTGTACAGTGTACAGTGTACAGTACAGTACTCTTGTCAGGTACGTTCGTCCTGCGCTCGAGTGCTAGTCCATCAAGGGAGTCAATCCTACAAGACGTGTAGAATTGTCTATTGTGCGGATCGCATGCCCCCCCAACATTCATACAATTCTTATCCAAGTACAGTACAGTAGATAGAATTCTAGAACGTCAGATCATTCATTTCCAATACAAATACTTGTAATATGATAACAGTAATAAGAAGCACGGGTGAAATCATCTTCCTCGCTTCTTGGTGTTGATGATTCCATAAATAAAATAATTAAATACTGTACGATAACTAAGGCGACCATTCGCAACGATTCAGCGTTTACTCGGAGCTTTGCAGCGCTATTGCAAACAACCACACCGGCTACTATTAATTATTTATTTATTTATTTATTACACAGTATTATTATTCACTACAAATCCTTGCAGTGATGACGTCATACTAACTGCCGCGCACTACTTGATGTGCTGAAGGTTCAAGAACTGATTCTAATTCTACCCCCAACGTATACAGTATAGTAGTAATATACAGCACAGTACGTATAATGTAAATCGTTTACTAAAGGCTAGAGTTCAAAATAGGGACTACTTCATTTCTTACAGTAGTATCTGGTTCAAACGAATGCTATTGATTCCTAATCTCGATCGATAACACAGTTCTGTAGAATATGACAAGACATGAAAGCCAACACGAGCACCGGCATTCACTGTGTGTGTGCTGTATAAATTGCGGTGGCTATCCAATCCATTTGATAAACGTAAAACTTTAACCATACAATCAAATTAATGGACAGTGAATCATTCTTCAGGCAAAGTAGAATAACACTGCTATTGTATAATGCTATTGAAAAGAGAATACTTGGTGCAAGAGTCGAGAAAATGTATTTATTACGATCGCTCGTCCATACGATATTTGTGGGGAAGGGGGAAAAATTGAATAATTTAATACAAGGACTGAGGGTCATGAAATACTGTACATTTCAAATTTATTGATAGCTATCAGTTAAACACTATTTCGTTGCTTATTTTAATGGCATGATTGTTAGCTGTCTTTTTATTCATGATCAATGGCTTGATCAAGAGTAAAAAGTAGTAGAGTACAGCATAACAACAACAAAAATGGAACAAATTGAAAAATCTTAGCGGTTGATGATATCATAGGTGTAATTATTAGTACAGTATTATTCGCTCAGGTGTACGCTACGCGTTTTTTTAAGAGGTGAATGATTTGATCGAAAATGTTCAGTCTTCACAAAGGGTGCATTACTTAAAAAAACGCGTACGGTACAGTTACACATTGTTCTATTGGTACAACATCGGAAAACTGATAATCGTCATCAATAACATCAAAGTGTTGATAGCATACGGCAGGTATTCTCATATTATTCAGTCTTTGCCAAGCATATGGAGAAATGAAGGCATTCAGTTTGTGGTTTACATTCCCACGTGGACAAGGTTACTTGATACTTTCACACGGTAGTAGGTTTAGATGTGCCAATAATACTGAACAGTGCACGTGCACTAGAGTAATGTTGTATTTGTGTTGATGATCGCTGCATCCGAGCAGGAATTGTATGAAAGTTCTAATTTGTGTATTTTGTATTTAGAAACTGGAAAGAATAAGATAATAAAATAAATAATATAATATAGAGAAGATACAGTACTCCACATTATGTTCTCAAGCACTGTAACCGACTGCAGCTTTAAGCTGCAGTGTAAAGTCTACCAGATTAGGGAGTGTACTAGTCGCTCTACTATTCACCATTGACATCCAAATGAGCTGGCAGGTTGGTTTGTATGATTTTCACCGGTAGAGTAGGTGACCAAGAAAAAATACGGTGGCTTAGAAAAGTGATAGGCCTACACATTTTCTTGTACGGTACAGCGCGCTTACTTCATATCTCTCTCAGTGTACTTTTTGTTCGAGGTACATGCTGTAAGAGTAAAAATCTCGATCGCTACTATACCGTTATTGTACATATAAGAAAAGCAGAGACTTTAACCCCCAAAAGAGTGCCCATAATACCTGGCAGGTTTATTTTGTATTGATTGATTCATTCTCTCAACCTCATTTCAGTGCGTTCATCGGATTTCCGATTGAAAGAAGAAGGAAGTTGCAAAACGCTGCTGTAGAGAAGCATACGGTGTCCTATCTATAATGGAGTAGTGTTGGTGAATTCATTTCTGCTAGCAATTTGTACAGTTGAATACTCGTCTTTCATCGTCACTCCAATCCATCGAGCTGATGCTCTTTACAAGTCCTGGACCGGACCCTGAGTGCACAAGACAGCGTTCTTTTGTTTTACTTGTAGTCCTCTAAATAGGACAGGAAGCGGTCGGATTCAATATAATAAAAAAAAAAATATGGGCTGACTCTTTTACTGATCATTTCAACTAAAGCGTATATCACAGGTGATATATTATATGCTGTCCATTGAACTGTCTCCCAATCATTATCGGCAGCGTTGGTATTGTCTATGTTAGCATATGTAGTAGTATGGACCACTAGAAATAGACTTGGGCTGGGATTCATAGGAGTAACATTGATGATGTGAAGTTACTGCTTCCAAGCAAAGCTTAGCAACAGGTAATGGGATGGGATGTCATAGACAGTAAAATTACTTCATTTAGAAAGAAAAATATCAGTCCAATTCAGAATCGACTGTTTGCATCACTATCGTACTTCAACCCCATGTTTGACTTTCATTGTTGACCAAATAAGGCTAAATGTCTGTCTGTCTAAAAGCGTGTGCAGTGTGCACTCAGTTTACAGTACTGTACTGTAGGTGGATGGTCCATGTACTGTACAGTACTGTACAATGTACCGCGGATTGGACTGCACACTACACGCTAACCCCAGCTAGCAAAAACCTGCTAAGCGGTTCGGTTCGGAGTAAAAAGTATTCGGTTCAGACCCGAACCGAACCTCGGACAGATCTAAAACTTTGTACAGTACAGTGTACAGTACTGTGCTTCACGCGTTTACTCAAGCGAACCTTTCTCAACTCGAATCTCTATATGGACAGTACAGTACGCAGCCGCTAACTAAACCTTGGCCTTGTTGATCATTGCAATCCTTTTACCTACTGTCGTGTGCAAATCCGCCTTGGTCACCAGCAGCACGTTGAAGGAGTCGATCATTGTAGTTTTTGAGGGCCGAGATTGAGTATATTGGCAGCTTGGATTATATCATTCTTGTGGATGAAAGTTGCAAACTAACCAGATATTGAACTATGTACCGATCAGGATTGTTAGTAGTAAGCGATCAATTCAAGTCCAGTGCCTTCAAGTTCTTATTGAAACGAGCCGCACAACATGTCCGACAGACGTTGTATGTTCATTATGAGCAATTGGACAAGGTAAGGCTTTGTATCATGTAGGTGCAGTACAGTAGAAAGGAATGGATGCATATCCACTATCGGTAGCATCAAGTAGAAATTGGCACTACAGATTGCGTGAAAAGTAGATGTCGATGGTAGATTATCCATTAATTAGTAGTGAATAGTGAATACTACCTTGTAGCCTTGAAGCCTACAACATAATTTTGAATACATTGACATCAGTGGGTCTGTCACGGCTAAAGCGCCAATGAAGAGCAAAATCTTTTTTGAATTTCGAGCTTGAGACGACTATGCAAGTGCCTTGAAATACAATTTTCATCCTATTCAACCATTTTATTGCTCTATGGAAGTGTTAAATTGTATAGCATACTGGAAAAGAAACGAATGCAATTTTATTTCCTTTCTCTGTAGTAAGTAATCTTGCTTGCTTAAAGTATACTGTATGGAAGTACAGTACTACGCGTATTGTACTTTTCTTTCAGCCTTTAGCCGTAACAGATCCGTAGCAACGAATCACACACTATGGTAGTGTAATGTCGAAATGCTGCAATAGAAATTGTATGCAAAATAGGCTAGACACGAAATATAAATTGCATTCGTTATTCTGCATTAGACGCTATTCAGTGGACTCTCAGTGAGTTCATAGGAATGAATCATGATTCATTATGACCAGTATACACGTACCATCAAAATGTCGACATTTTGACCAAGGAAATTGTATACAAATTGAACACAAAATAGGTGCCCACAATAAATTACCTATTCTTGAATATTGCACCCTTTAAGATTACAACATTGATGAATCTAGAATACAAGCTATTAAATTGATACATCCATTTTCAATATATCTGCAGGAAAAGAAGATCAATGATAGCCTAGTCCGCAAGCAGTATCAGTTAATTATCAAATATATATACAATTCCGCATCAGAAATCAACAATGAATTGGATATCAGAGTATTGTTACCGACGACTATCGGCGAATGGAGCAAGCGAGAAATTGCTAAAAGTGTTGATGTAGCTTTACAAGCATCCAATGATAACTTGCAGTCTACAACTAATCTGGACTTGAGATCTTCGCTAATCAACAAATATTCTCTCAAAGATAGCGACCTCTACGCTCATGAAATTTTAGATTTAAGCGATTATGTTGAAAATAATAATATTGAAGACCATCTAGAAGAAATTGGTAATCACTAAACCAATAAATACTGTAAATTAGTAATGCAAACAATCATGTTTTCAATTGCTAATATGCAATTTGCAAAGTCATATTCCAAAATTGAATGCAGATATTTCGTACGTATTTGTTGGGTGTACGAATGCACGCATTTCAATGAAGGATCACACACAAAAAATGTAATGTACTTGTAAAGCGTAGTACTATATATGCAAAATGCTCATCAATCATTCATAATTGTTTCTATTTTGGTATTATTTTGTTTTTCATGATTAGATGGTGATATCTACCCAAGTGTTATAATTGGAGGCACATTTGATAGATTGCATAATGGCCATAAACTATTGCTTTCAACAGCATCTCTCTATTCTCAGAAAGAACTGTATGTGGGTGTAACTGATGGCCCTATGGTAGCGAATAAAACTTTATCTGAGCTAATGGAATCAACACATACACGCATTGCACGCGTCAAAAGGTACAAACTAAACTTTCAACTGTAATCATTGGTAAATGCCAGATGCTAAGTGATAAATATAAATAGAACCACGAATTATATGCATTTCCTAGTCAGATTTTCAATGTCATCAAAATATACTTAAAGACACATGTCTAAAAATTATTGTTCCATCTTGTGCTCTTCTTATCTTATCTCATGAGTTGTTGCTAGATATTACTTGATTGCATGCTGAGTAGCAACCGATAAATCGCTAGCATCTATTGTATTCATGCCCGGATATAATACAAGCATGAGATAAAATATATACAACATAAAGGAGTGAAGGCTTGTAATACTGTACTGGCATCTTTTCTAAGTAACGAAATCGATAGTAACATAATGAAATAATCCTTTCTGATTATAATCTGAATAAATCGCCATTAACGCGTCAGTTAAAAGCTTATACAATCATTACCGCATTAATTATATAGCAAAAGTATTACAGGGAGTCGACATTAGAAGAAATATAAAACTTACTTAGTTATTTTTATCTACTTGCTTTATTAACACATCGGTCGAAATAAAAGGTTTGGTTAAGACCATCAAAATTGCTCATAGTTAAGATATGCTTAATACATTATAGACAATTCATTCTGTAATACATAACTTATCGTATCTAAATTCCATACGTTTTTATAGTTTCCTACGTGACATTCAACCTTCAATACAATATCATGTAGTTCCAATTATTGATCCATTTGGTCCTTCAATAACTGAAAAAGATATACAGTGTATCGTCGTTAGTCAAGAAACATTAAAAGGCGGTAGCGTCGTAAATGAAGAAAGATCTAAGAAAGTTCGTTGTGTCAATGATATAACAAATGTAAATAGACTTATTGTGTCTGTACTACAATAATTATAATTGACCATTATTTAAATTTATTAGAATTATGATCCTCTTGTCATCAAGAAAATTGACCTAGTAGCAGCTGAAAGTAATAATCAACTGGATTGGATGCAGGATGTAAAAATCAGCTCTACAACATTACGTCAAAAAATTCTTAGTGATCTTTTACAACCATTGAAAGTGCGTCAAGTTTTGCTAATGGTTGATCGCTACACTATTTACCGGATCTTTACATACTCCTATAATAGGATATGTAACTAGACATTATTACTTTTATACTATGCTTAGGATGAGAAAATAAACGCTCCCTGGACTAAGAAAATTGAGAGTTTTCTTCTGCCGGATATACCGAAGCAACGTCTACCTTACTTAATTGGGCTCACAGGCGGAATTGCTAGTGGGAAAACATCTATTTCAGCACGGCTGGAAAAATTAGGAGCAGCCATCATTAACTGTGATAAGGTATGCTAAATAACCCTTATACTGCATGATAAATCACGAAATAATAGCTAAGACTTCAATATATTGAACATTTATTTTTCAATAAAATTATATTAGCTTGCTCATAAAGCCTATCTTCCTGGTACTAAATCTTACAGTGAAATTTTAAAAGTGTTTGGAAAAGGTTGGTTATGATGTTAATACCTGCATGCACTCTTGCTTAGAAGTTTTTGATCCGACCTTACCTACTTTCGTGCTAATCGTTATATTGAAATTTAAAACATCGTAAATATTAGAGCTAAAATGGTCATCAAATAAATCCTTTCACATTTATCATATTTATTATACTTCAGGGATTATCGGCGAAAATGACTGCATTGATAGAAAGTCATTAAGTGCAATTGTATTTGCCAATGCTGTATGTGCAGACAATTCGATGCCAGCTATTACATTGAAGCTATACTGTACTGAGTAACTATCTTAAAACTGAATAATGTAGGATCTATTGGAGAAGCTTAATAATATTGTGTGGCCAGCTGTTGCAGATCTAGTACGACAGGAAGTCCAAATTGCTGCTACAAATGGTTAGATTGGTATAGATTTATACAATAGAATAATTCTCCACATGCGTTCGCTGTAAATTACCTCATATTAATGCACGTAGTAAAAAACAATATTTAGGAACTTCAGTTTGTGTTATCGAAGCTGCGCTCTTGCTGGAAGCTAACTGGAAGAAATTCTTAAATGAGGTTTGGGTATCGACTATTCCAGTCAAGGAGGTAAATTATCGATCGTTACATTTTAATAGTTTTATTGAAGCCATGGCTATCATTATACTAAGTATTACCTGCTTTTGGCGACTGATATCATTAATAATTATGAAATTAAAATTTTAGGCAATTACTCGGGTAGTTAAACGAGATAACGTCAATGAAGAGCAAGCGAAACGGAGAATTGAATCACAAATGACTAATGCGGAACGCATCAATCACGCTGATGTTGTCTTAACAACATTATGGGAGCCTGAAATAACACAAAAACAAGTAAGTTACATACGTAGTTTTCAGGTTCCCCAACTTCAGCTATTGGCAAATTAGAGGCCATTAATAATGCTTTTAAAAAATGATTTTGGGCTTACTGGTATATTTTATATATATATGATACAAAGGTTGAATTTGCGTGGCAACAACTAAACCGAAGAATCGGCCTTTATCAAAGTCTGTCTATTGGCCATCCTATTGATAACAGGTAAATTACAACTTTTACTATTAGCGAAGGTCCTGTATCGGATTAATTATAAACTATTAATAGACTCCAGATGATATCAGACAAGCTTCGTACCCAGTACTCAATAGAAAATGGTAAAGACTTGTTACAATTGGATACAACCAAAAAGAGGTTGGTATGACGTTAGAACAAGGCGAGTTATTGAAGATTTAATAATCAGCTGATTTTGCATAGATCGACGATTACAGCAATGCTTGACCTCTGTGAGCTCTTCTCCTATTGGCTAAAGGTAAGTAAACTTAAATTTTAAAACGTTAATTATCTATAGCAACGGGCCTATTTTTATTTCTGTATAGGATGCCGACTTAGTTAAATTGGCTATCATTTTAGCACATTGCGACGATCAAAAGGACGTTTCAAGATTTTTAGATTCAATTTCTTCACATGAAAAGGTATTTACTATTGCACTAGTTCCTTTGATATTTCAATTTCTTTATTATTGATAGCACCTTTTTATTTGCAGGCTTTAAGGTCTATACACGAATGTTTAGATCTGCATAATGATTTACACAACTCAGGTATGGGATAATTTATATTTTCTCGAAAGAATCTGAGATAGATGAATAATTTTTTTTATTATTTAGGCTATCGTAAAGGTAGAACTACGCTAGATGGTGACTTTATAAACGATATGTACTTCATCGGATCATTTTTTACTGGTGATGTCAGTGTTAGCAATTCTGATATCTGCAGGCGTCAGGGGTAAGTCTACACGTAATAATTAAAGTTGAAATATCAAGTTGGAGCGTCCTCATAATTACACACTTATTTTAAATAAGACTGACGACAGACGAATATATCAAATTAGTCAAACAAAGACCGATTTACAGGTATACGTGTACCTTGATTGCCATCAATTACATAATGCTTCTACCGTAGAAAATATGGAAGATATTGATCGTATAATTCATGTATGCTGAGTTAATTTTCGATTATCTTTAGGACACATCTATGTCAGCAATTTTTGGAGGGAAGATTGGAAAAAATTGTAAACGCATAACTTGTATATTTTTGTTTAAAGTTCTGGATGTGACTGATCAAAGTTTCTGAAGTAGCTAAGAAATAATTATTATATTCTATTAATGTGCTACACTTGGTACTTTAAATAGGTGAAATTATTGAAGTAATACGCTGTAGAATACAATTCTTTAGTTGTTCTGATTGGGCGCTCTTTAAAACTACCTTCATAATTTTGTTTTTGCGCCATTAAGCGTTCTTTGTAAGCTATTAAAATTGTTATTTAAATCTTATGACATATCTTGGCGGGCATCGAAATCTATGCACTGTACTTAGGACTTTCTACTCTTAAATTCGAAATACAAACCTGCAGTATGTCTACAACCTTAAGGATTAAATAATAAATTGCGATAATTATTTTTTATTATATTAGTTGACCTTTATGGGCAACATTTATAGCTGATGTTTTATAATACATTTCAATCTTATGAAACGTTATAAATAAAATTGGCATATAATCATCCTTGTTCTATTTTGATAAACTCATATGATATAAAATTACAGAGGAGAAGATCAAATGAGCATACAGGAGTGATTTGGAAATAGAGTAATTCATAAAGAAACTACCACATTAAACTCGCATCAATATATCCCACAGTATACGTTATACATCTAAAACTAGTAATGCAAGGCATTCAACAATATTTTTTAATATAATTACTTTTTGCCCGCAATTTCATTCGTCAGGGATAATACTTGCTACTAATCATTATAAAACAATTGTTGAAGCCAGCATCGTTTTTTCTCATATAATAAACTGATAGGTAACTTGTTATCTAATGCACCGATGAATTTCTCGTAGAAACTAGGGTACATATATATGTTAGACCATATCAGTGAGTAAATTAGCTTTTTCAATGCTTAGATATCACGATTAACTTTCTCAATCATTTATTACTGTTTCTGTAACGATAAAATTTTTACGAATACAACAAATTGAGTAATATATTTTCACTCTAAAAAATATAAATACACATGTTTAGTATTTACTATTTGTATACAATACGATTTGATATAAATAGTGAATTTTTAATATATAGTCATAACTTTTTTAAGTATAGACAATAATGCATTTTCTAATAGTTTAAAATATAATGTTCGAGTATTTTCATATATTTTTAAGTAATAATATGTTGAACTGCTTTATAAAATATTGCAGTACTACAGTATCATAAATTAATTAGGAAGTTGTGGTAGATTTTACAAATTATCTAAAGCCTTTCATCGTCTAATTAACGCTATTCGAGCATTGACTATTCTTAATGAGTAGTAGTTATCAAAGAATATATCGTGATAGTGATGAATTATAACGTATCTAACCTGTAGAACTTGCTACTTTTTTATTATATCGGCATATTTATACTAGTAGTCTTCCTGTTTCAATAAATATATGTACAATTATAAAGAAATAACGAATGCTCCCAAGAGATTCTTAAACAAATAAAATGAAATATTACGTAAATATTTTATGACGATGTCGTTGAATATTGGGCTGTGTAATATAATAGATTAATAAATGATTATCGAGAAGAAATTTATAAGCTCTACATAATATCAATGGAATGATTGACATTTTAGAATTACCTTTTAGGTTATCTACGCGTAAAAATATTTCTTTATTGTAATATTTAATGTAGACATAAATTATATTTCTGATCGATGGTGACAATCAATTATATGTAGCTTGATCATGAAGGTAATACATATGAGAGATTCGATCTTCTGTATTTGGTCTATCATCATGTAAAAAATATCTCAATAAATGCTTGATCTAATTGTACATGAATAAATATGAGATAAATTTAAATTGTAGGCCTCTAATGACTGAGAATGCGATAGCTTAATTAGTGGAAAAATAATAATTGAAAGGAGTATGGTTAATTTATCCAGAATATGTAATGAAAATTGTTTACTATTCATTTTAGGGATCAACATTTAAATACTACCGAACTTCCTACTTCCGATAACGATCAAATTAACGGTATAAAATTTATAAAGTATGTTAGTTGGTAAGTAAGTCGCGATATTTACTATATTGAGAAAAGCGAACAATCTTTCCTTCAATATTATGTCTATCGTATCGTTATCATAATCGAGTAGGGAACTTTTCTTAAAAAGTCAAGTATGATAGTAAAAATTATTGATAATGTCGATGAATATATCACACGCACAATACCATTTTGCTTCAATCAAATTATTGATCATGCAATAGGAAATGAGTAAAAAATTGAGTTATTCTAAAAATCTGTATTAATGAATACAAGCGATCTATTTATATAAATCTTCAATTCCGTATTGTATTGAAGAAATCCAGTTATTCGACTTGTGCGGCCATCAATAAGTAAATGAATGTAATTGCATGCATGACAGTATTCTAAACCTTATTCAACGCTTAATAGATGTATTTTACAATATGTTACTTATGTTATAATTGACAATTTATTAATTTCTACTTTGCGTAGGCGTTATATCCTATTTAAAGGAAAAAACAAAAAATATATAAGAATTCAAGTAATCAACATAGCATGAGATGTCAAGAGAAGGAGTGGAAGAATTAGAAATGATCCAAATCAAGTAATGAACAGATTATTGAAGAGTTTAACAATATTACAAAAATAGAATGGAAAATGGAAGGGAAAACGGAAAAAGCATAAACAATAAAGAAAGAATAAAAGAAAAAAACATTCACTTATTACAATTAATAGCAGTTATCCACGCGACAAGAAAGTACTTGCAAAAAAATTTAAAAATAACTGAATACCGGTATTAAATTAGTTTTTGGCAAGATGACTTGGGATTGGATATGGTTTTCAAGAAGTTAGCTGGTAATATCCGAAATGCGTGACTGATTGAAGTGTTAACTAAAATATGATTGGCTATGATAGATTTTAGGTATAGAAAAAGAAAAAATTATTAGGAGATAAAATAACATAAGGACGGATTATGTAATAAGAATTGTCCTCTGTATTAGTATAAAAAATGGATTGAATTTTATAACTTTGAATATCTTTTCGATATTAGTTCCAAATTTACAGTTAATTTAAGCAAGGAGTAAAATTTAAATGTGAATACTGTAACTTATTAATAGTGTAAACTTTGACTTTTCTAATAGGGTTCTATCCCTTGTTTTTACTATTACCCTAGCAATGTAAATTAATGAACGGTTTACACTACGAACTAATAGAATTAATAAGCATGTTGAAGTGTATAGTGATGAAAGACGTACCTACTGAATAATTTATACTACGGATTGGATTTCTCTTTAAAGAATTATTTTACACTTGCTATTCTATCCGTAAATAGTAACACGGAAATTATCGATTAAATGATATCTTAAGGCTATAAATTATTGTTCCCTATTTGAATTTTTTTTTATTTGATATATTATAATTAATTCGTACAATATATCATGATTAGTTTATCGAAAATTAATTTTTCCATCAATCATTACTTTTTTCTGGTGGATCTGAGTTGTTTGTTTTATATTATAATTTTACTGTATTTAGTATAGCAATCTAGCATTCGAATGCTATTCTACTATAAAGAAGAACGATGTGGTGGCAATAGGAAATACATTGTGTTACCGTTAATCAATTAGAATGAAGTAATAATTCATCTACTACCGGATGAAAATTTAGAAAAGAAATGATTGGTATATTCCAGTCAAGAAATTTTGAATGATTTATATTTAATTCCTGTCTAGCTTAAAATTTTTATAATACGGAATTGATATTTTAAAGAACTGCTATTTTAATTAGTACCAGAATCGCTTGTCTATATCCAAGTTATCTTCCTCTGCAGGATCTATATATCTCAATACTACCTTTGCGTTACTCTACTCTATTACTGCTAGTACTTGTCGATCGATCGATTCAGTAGAGACGAAGCAATTGTAGCTAGTCAAGATTAGTAAATTGACTGCAACAGTTAATATTAGGCCGTAGGCTAGTATCATGATAGCCTAACAAGTTCATTCGTTATACCTAGGTATCTTCTTAACTTACTGCAAATGATAATCAATTCCGTAGTATATTTTCCAACGGATATTTAGAGTAGTAAAAAAACGGAATTGGCCCTGCCCTAAAAATAAAAAATTATACAATCCTATTTGCATTTGAATTTAGTGATGGCATTGAATGATAATCTAAGTTCAAAGTACATAATGGTGTAAAGTATTGAAATATTAATTATCCGCTTTTTTGTGTTTGTGTTTATTGCCGGTAGCTTCTATATAACTATTTTGTAACGTGTCAGTCTGTCTCTCTCCCCTCTCTCCATCTCTCCGTCTCAGACAATCTGCAATCCGGTTTAATTTGTTTTTTACCTCTATAGCCATCATCTACGAGCAATATCTATCATTAGGGTCAAACAAATACGCATAGGGTATACGACAAAATGATTTGTCTGCTCTTACTGATTTTAATTAATCAAGCCAATTGGACCTAGAATGGTATTGTCGATAGAGAGAATCGATGATAGCAATATTGTCTGTATTGATCTTTCTTTTTATCATTGTTCATCAACAATAGCGTCTATCAATACAATGACGACATCCAATTGTAGGATTACTATAGTAACGGTCCAAGTTGAATAGCAAAGGGATAATTGCGTGGTAGTTAGAACAATAGACATAACGTTTTGGCGCTATTGTCCTCTGTTATCGATACCTGCCCCCTCTATTGATAATAGTTAACAGTACGGTAGAGGCTATAAATAACTACAATTTTGGGCCATGGATAGCTATAGATGTGTCTAGAGGCAGAGTAGTAATCAAGTCAAGTTATTGATAGCGATGATGGATATGGTATAAAGGCCAAGAGAGAGAGGCAGTAAGATTGAGATAGAAATTAAGACGGTGTGAGAGAGACAGAAAGGTGGAAAAAGAATCGGAAGAAATTTATACAGGATCTAATCTACAGGCAATAAGAGAGAACATTTCAACTATACTATTAGTTGCAATAAGAGACAATCGATTGGAATATTGGCATATACATTCAGGCAAGATTGCAAACTATTAATCGATTCAAGGAATAAAAATTGATGAACTGTATATTCGACCTATCATTCGGTTAGTAATAGGCATTTCTATCCCGTTGTAGAAGAATGACATAGATTTGTAAATAGGTGCTAAATAGATCCTACTACTTGCATTCCCAATCTTTTTTCATTTTTTTAAATCTTGAATCGAATTTTCTGGATCATCGTTACTGTTATATCGTGCTTATTTCTACTGGATAATTTTGGATGATAGAATAAAAAATAGAAATGGAATATTAGGATAATTTCATACATAGCTCAAAGAGTCATGAGATGTTGTTTCAGTTTTATCCAATCAACATAGAGTAAAATGATATTGATTTTTTTTTCCTGATGCATGACATTTTATTGGCAGTTGTTATTTTATTTTTCTATCTTTCAAGATGCGGTTCTTTCAATACAAGAGTCAGACAGTATTGATTGCTTTTTACCCATACCATAGTTGCGTTATCCATTACAATCTGGCGATTAATGATGACTATTTTACATAAAAGGATATCCAATTATATAACACTACTAATATTAAAATCAAGCATTTTTTCCTCTCTCTCTCTCTCTCTCTTATTCTCTTTTTCACCTACGTTCACAAACTGTTTAGATAATCATATCCATTTCTATGAATCTCTTTAGCATCAAAACTACGCGATCGACTTGATGCAGACTTGATACTATCTACCTAAACTGACTTGATAACCTCCTACTTTCAACATAACGTAGACTATCATCGCTTTCTCATCTCTTTAGCATTTTTGCGCGGTCTATCGAATCGAACAGATTCCAATATACAGTAGTTTTATCTTATGTTAATAATTAATCGTGGAAAAATCCTTTGGAAATACGTTTTGACCAATAGTACTAATATGATAGTAGATTAGCAATGGGTTTCAAACGAAGTGACGCTATTCTATCGACAACTTCATAATATTACCTACAACTTAATAAACAGCTGTTGAACAAATAGGATAAATCATGTAACATGATCTATCCCTTCATCATTGTACACCACACACAAGATAATATTACTTTAAAGTACAAAACAAGTAAAATTCTAATTTTGCGCTGGAGGGGGTTACCAATCTCAGTTCTATCGCCACTTTTACAGAACAATCTTTTATTGCAAACTTCACTTCAGGTACTGGATATTAGTCTAATTTAGATTACAAGAATTATGTACACTAACCCATACGGTCGATAAAATTCATCATTTTATACAAAGTGTAAAGAATAAAAAATCACCGACAGGAAAGGAGCCTCATTAATAAAAAAAACGATTGGTTACACTGCAATAGATCCGGCGTTGATGAGACTGTTGCAGGTGTAATCAATTTTTATATTTTATTGATCTTTACGCGTGAAAAACGCCAAAGTAGATATCCGGTCGTCAGTAAGCTTAACTTGTAGGAAGAGTCTTTCGGAAGCGAAATTTCAGTAAGTTGTGTTGATTTTTTAGCCATTATCCATTTCCTTTTATTTTATTTTCCTCCTTTATTTGTATCTTGGTTTCGTCAATTAATTCTCGGCTCTCTATTTCGTTATTGATCTCAATCTTTCTCGTTTTTCTCCCTTCCCCATCTCTCTATCCTTTTCTACTATACGTACGTATTTATATGCATTTTATGAGACTAAGATTGACTGTTTGACATCATCTTCTTACTCGCTCCATCTCATTTTCTAATATTGCAATCAATTCCATTACGTATGTAGTTATTGGCAGAGGCGAGGTATCAGTTGTGGCTTTGTATTATTATAAACTATTGATATAACTCTCTCGTTATACCATTAAAAGCGATAACTGTAATTGGATGACCACGATTAGTTTGATCAAATCAATTTGACATATTCAAATGAGTTGATCGACTTATCTAAATTACATAAGTTAACTCGAGATAACGATAGCACCTTCTATTGTTGGGGCAATAACCTCCGTGACATACACATTAAAGTCGTTATATAATTTGCTCTTAATACAAATAACAAGATTTATTTTTTTATTGAAGTCATCTTGAATTATTTCTTTGACGTGACAGCTAAGTTATTCAGATGCTTGGAGCATGATGATGACAATAATCCGTGTTAACGTAGTGTTGACATGTAATGGAAAGTTTACCCATAACTAAATTATCTTGTACAAGAATTGACTTTGACAAACTTTCAATGATCAATACCAAAAATTAAGTTATGATGCATTGGATCTTTTACCGTTATTTAAAGAAGCTACGCTACATTATACAAGAATTGGTACGCTATTGCACTTTCATTGCCGTCGTTAGATCTTGCACGAATATGTTTTGTTAATATCGATAGTACTACTGTTGATTCTTATAGTGTAAGAAGAAATCAGATACTACAACTAATATATTGTAACTTTTAAGCTTTGCAAATAGTTATGCAGTCATAAATAGTCTAATGGAACTTATTTGTAGCTACTGAAACAAGTCGAAGTGAATCTATCATGATTTCTCTATCACACAGACGGTTGCATGATAGTTTCA